GTATCTACACCTGTTAGCAATCAACCTGCAGAGAATGACACCAATAGCTTCCTTTGAATATTGTCACATATTTTGTTCGAATTTTTTTCCGTTTTGTAATCCCATGAAGTAGATCATTCAAATAAAGCGAAAGCAAGAGCAAAATAAAAATGAAATTTTTTTTTGCCATTAACCATTGAACAGATAGCAGTTACAATGAATAATGTCTACTTTTCACAGACTTCTTTGATTTGTAAATAAAAACGAAGTCGAACAACGAGATCAATATGACCGAAAAGCTATTGCATTAATTAATTGCTCTGATCTTTTGCATACATACGGCTGAAAAGACAAAGTAGCTTTCATCATTTCGATACATTTTTTAAGCAGCTATCATCGTGGGACTATCGCTCATAGACGTGATGATTGTGCGATGCTGCAAACAGGACATAAAAAACAAGTCTGTTCATTTGTCGTTTTTTTTTCATTCACATCATCACTCTGACACACACAATACTAACATAAACAAAGCAATTAAAAAATCGATTTCACTTCGGTATTTCACATACTTATTTATTATCAAATGACAAATGTAATGCGCAAGGAAAATATAGCAAATAAAGGAGAAAAAATGTTATTTGGCTATTTATGATTGCCGTTAGTGTTTTAAAATAACAAATACAAATTTTCAGAAAAAAGTTGATTGGTCGGTTTGTTCATTCAAATTTATTATGCAGAACAATTCATCAAAATAAATTTCACTCAATCGTACATGATCTTGCACATTTCAGAAATGACAGGAATTAACCAAATAATTCTTGACCACACAAAATGAGTACAGACTACCTTCATTCATTTTCACTGCATATCGTCTAATATTATTTCTTCATAGCTGTTTACTTGTACAATCTCATCGATCACGCTAGTTCGACCTTGATTTCAATTGATTAAACAATTGTGTCACATTTATTCAATTGATGTAGATAACACAGTCCTTTTCTCTTACTCTCGCACCTAAAGTAACATTTTCCTTGACATTCTTAGACATTTTTTTATACTTGTTCTAACATAGATTTAATAAAATCAGATAAATTTCAAGAACCGTTGTCCAATTCGTTCTGAAAAATGCTTTATTTCAATAATATACTTCTTTTACAAAAACGAAAAAAAGGTGGAACAGAATAGGCGACAGTTTTCGCAACAGTATTTGCGACAGTATTTGTCGTAAATATCTTTGCGTCTCAATCGGAATGTTGGAAACTCATTGTACAGTTTCACCAAGACCGCAACATCTGAAAACAATTCAGAGAATTTTAAAACGAAAACGAATTAGCTAAACGAACATTGTTGATTGAAATGGTAAATAGTTTGGACTAAGAAAATGTCAACATACCAATTTCTTGGAAGACAATCTCTTCATTGACACCCGCTTGTTTGAGGATTTTTCCTTGTGGATCAATGAGCATAGTATGACCGTACAGCACATAATCTTTGACATTCTCATTTCGAGCTCCCGAAATGGCAGCGACGAACATTTGATTGTCGAATGCTCGAGCCTTATGGACGAATTCCCAGTAGTTATGGAGCGAATACTTATCACCGCTGAGAATATCGTAAGCAGCTGGAACGAACAGAACTTCGACTCCCAGCTTGCGGTAAATTTTGATAAATTCATCATAGCATGCATCCCAGCATATAGCTACACCACATTGTATATCATCGATTTTAAATAAAGTGACATCATCGCCTGGTGTAAAAACACTGACCTCATCAAGTTTAGTTCCACTTTCGAAATTTATGTCACATAAGTTGACCTAAATAGTAATAGAAAAAGTAAACAAAATAGTAAAACTACATCAAAAAATGTGCTCCTTCTTTATGTCGCTTCAAGAGAATTGCCGAAATTATTCGGGCTCTCTTGATGTCTTACCTTGCGATGACGTGCAATCAGTTCACCATTTGGGTTAAACACAAGAGCTGTACTGTAGAGTTTTTCATTGTCGGTCTCGGCTATTCCTCCAATAAAATAGATATTGAATTGCTTGGCCAATTCAGACATGTGCAGAGCAGTTGGACCGTTGATCGGCTCGCCAGCATTTTCGAAAACATTCTTGTCGGATTGATAAAAGTAGTTGAAGCCTTCTTGAAGTGAAATCACCCGTGGTCGGTACATTGAAACGGCTTGCTCCACCATTTCGGACAAGTGTTGTAGGGTCTCATTAAGGCTTGGCTTGGTGTCGAATTGAATCAATGCGATGTCGAGTTCTATGGAAAAGAAAAAAGGATGATTTTCAAGCTTATAACGATTAAAACTATGATGGAATTCGAATACAAAGTGAAAATGCACTTACTTGTTTGACGAGCGGTTGCAATCGTACTGAGCTTAATGCATGCAAATGCAGCCAAAAAACTTACTTTTATAGACGAATCTTATCACAATGTCACATTGAATGTGATGCAAAGAATAATGTGAAGTTTTACACTTGCTTTTAAAACCCAACGTTAATGACCCTTGGAATCTATTTTAAATTTCTTATGTTACATATATTGAACATTTGTGGCACAAACGTTCCTATCAATTGAAAACAAAGTTCAACTGTGTGATAGGTAAATGATTCGAAAAATGAAAAATGATTTGCATTGCATTGCATTGCAAATACAAATCTCAGCGTAATAGCACCATTCGGAAGAAAATAACATCTAAGTTGCCTATAGAAAGTTTTGCACTTGAATTAAAATAAAATCGTAGAAATTTGCAAAAAAAGTGGCAAAAAATTGTGTTGGAATTCAATTCAATATGTCAAATTGAGATGAGCTATTTGAATACTAAGTGTATTCTCAGCTCTGCCTTGATACTTGCATGGGCACTGTACTACACATGTTGAGTGAAGAGATAATTCCTATTTTTAATGCACAATGATAGACGAGTGCTCTCGTTTTTCTTTTCCAATCCCTGATAACATTCGTTCGAGATTATACTAAGCATCAAGCAATAAGAACATTTAATGCAATTATTCGCATTTTATATTAACAAAGTAAAATCAATTATTTAATTTCTGCCTTCGATAATGTGCACTGTACGTGTGGCATGAAGAGATAAGTAACAACGACACATGAGCAATTTCCCCGTTTTTCACACCCTTTTGCGGTATGATTCAATTATCTCGATTATAGACGAGAGATTATTGAACAAAGTTGCAAACGCTGATCATTACGACAAAAAATAATTGCAAATATGCACGAAAAAACGTCCAAAACCTTATTAGAATATTTTTTATTTAATTTTTTAAAAAATCATAAAATGGTGATATTTTTAAATGTTTCTTCATTATTTAGAACGAACCGCTGGTGTATGCCGTGGTATCTTTTATCAAAGCAAAACCAACTCGTTTGTGCTCATACATTGAATCGCTTGCAATACGGTGTCACTGTTCCGACTGGTCCCTTTGACGAGCTTAATTTCGAAACATTCTCTAATGTAACCCGTGTGCAAATAAAATGACTAACAGTCACTCAGTTGTATGTAACTGTATGTAGTGATACACAACTAAAACTGACTAAGTTGATTGAAATCATGCGTTTTGTATGGAGACAATCACGTTTAGTTATTCTTTCAGTCAGTCGAATAATTTGGGACATTTTGACTAAGAGTGATTTGTGATTAAAGTTAACTGCGGTTGCTTATTTTTTTCGAGACAATCACTTTTAGTCAGTCAAAATGTCCCAAATTAATCGACAGTCAGTCATTACTAGTCAGTCAAAAAATTTCCACACGGGGAAGCTAATGAAAGCTGTTGCATATCAAACAATGGTGTACCGCTTCATAATACATGTAGCTAGAATTACCTACGGCTTTGTAGACTAGAACACAAATTTTTTATAAATTACCTATATTTGATACATGAGAATCAATGGACATGAATTGTGATTGCACATTTGATTTAAAAAAAAATGACTAAACGCTATAATTGAATACAATTAAGTATATATAGTAAGCTGGAAAAAAATCTACTATATTCTATTTTGTTGCAGATTCCAATCTAATGAGAGTTAATTGTGCTCAATTGTTTGAATTATAATAAAAATCTTTGACTAACTTTGTTGAAATTATCATAAATCAATTGCCAGAACAACGAAAAGACAGCCAATTATAACCAATTATAAACTAATTCATGGAATCATCAAATATTTCGAGCAACATGTAGCAAAAGACATACATTTGAAATGTATTTTGATAATTTCTCTATGGTAATTATAATATCCAAAAAGGAAATGAGTGATTTCGATTCTTATCAACAAGCTAATACTTCAGATTTAATATAAAATATTTGGATAATATTCACGAATGTCCAATATTGTTGATTCAGTCAGTTCGTGAAATACATCCTAAACGCATATCATTATTAGAATGCTCACCTTTTTGGTTATATTTTTGTCAATCTCAGTGTTGTTGTCCACTTCAGATATCATGGTACGTACTATCTTCTTCGTTGTAAAAATAAAAACAAATATTTCAGTTTCCAAAAGTATTGGAATTTCTGATGATCGAATCGAAATCAGATGAATTTAGCAACTGAAGCGGGTATTCCTATTGAATGTCATTATGTCGCAACTGAAGATGGATACAATTTGCGTTTGTATCGTTTGCCGCCTGAAGAGAGGAATACAACTGATGGTAATCATCTACGAACAATGTTTCTCATGCATGGTTTGCTGGCCTCATCTCCAATGTATATCACATATCTGGAACATTCAGCTGGTATTGTCAATTATTATCAACCATTTTTTTCTTTTTCGTACAAAATTTTATTTTTATATATAATTTTTTTAAAAATAATAACAGGATATTTCTTTCAAAAACGGGGATACGATGGTAAAACTTATTATAAACGAAATAATACATAATCAAATGGAATTAATAAATTGTATTGGTATTCATTGGTTCAATCCATTGGCCAGTTTGGATAGCAAACGCGAGAGGCAACTCTTTTTCACGAAATCACACAAAATTGAATCCAGACGAAGAACAATTTTGGGAGTTCAGTTGGCATGAGATTGGCTTTTTTGATCTACCAGCGATGATTGATTATGTGCTGATGCAAACCGGACAAAAACAATTGATTTACATCGGTCATAGTCAAGGTGTTACGAGTGCATTTGTTATGTTGAGCGAACGTCCCGAATATAATGAGAAGATTGCATTTTTGGTATTTCAAATAAAATTGAAAATATTCCAATTACAAAATCTGTAACCAAAATATGCTTTTTGTAACAATATTCTTTTGCAGCATGCGATGACACCACCTATAATTATGAAACATTACCGCCCACACGCACCATCTGCGATGGAAGATGTAAATAATGTTAATAAATTCGGGGATTGGGTCAAAAGGACTAAAAATTTTGAGCTATTTCGTTACGATGATTATATAAAGTTCGCTCGACTTTTTGGCGAGATCTGCACCCTTGCAATTTTAAAATCTTTCTGCAAGAGTATCAATGATATAATTCCAGGCCCCGCATCGCCAAACAGTTATCATGATGTAAACTTTTAAGCCGATTCACGCATTTTTTTCGTTTAATTATTTGGATATTTCTTAGCGTTTATTTTTAGATTACGCAATGAGTGTACCATAGGGTGTTCAGCTAATCTGAAAAAGAAGAATGAATAGCATAAATTTAAAGAGAAGCCAATTTTATGTCAACTGGTAGCATTAATAGAGCGTTATACAACACTTCCAGAAGAAAAAAAAACTCTTTGCAAAATCGAATAATGCTTACCTAAACGACCCACTAGAGTACTCCTGCGCAGTTAACATCAACCAGATGGGGAGTCAACTTGCTTCAACGCAACTATCCCACATGATCGGGATAGCCTTTAATAACTAATGTTACATTTGTTTTTTTTTTTGTTTGCAATGTGCTGATTAGACAGCATGATCAGCTGGCTGCTGGTCGTACTCGAACATTTCTACATCATTATCCACGATGGCGGCAGCAGCAGCGGCTGCTTCAGCGGTTGCTCTAGCGGCAGCAGCAGCGGCAACAGCAGCGGCTGCTTCAGCAGCTTCGCGCCAATACCTATTGATCGCCTCTGGTATCGGAAGTCCCAGTAATGTCCATAGTCCTGAACAATTAAACAAATGAAACTTCTTAAAAAATCATTCAATCGAAATTGTGCGTCAATTAGCCTTACCTTTCAGTAGAATGTTCTTAGCAGCCACGACGTCACGATGCCAAATCACAGAGCATTCGAGGTTTAATCGCCAGTTTTTGTAGTAACATTTTACTTTTGGGAATAAACGCTCGTCTCCTACCAATGCTTCTTCGTTCATGGCGCGTTGCAACTGTCGGTAGATCGATAGATCCGTTTTGCCCAACTTTGACACAATTTTCGTTGGCAGCAATGTTCTGGCGTCGGGTACGCATCGGCATTTCTTGAATCTGGCCGCTTTGTTCTGGTTTTGGAATCGATTCATACATCTTGCGTCGGTTTGAGATGTTCCCCATTCGTCCACCAATTGTATGAAACAATCTCGGCGCTTCTTTATTGACCTCAAAGTCTTACGCACCCCTGGGCACCGCACGTGCTTCTTGATACTTATTGGGCTATCAGGTGGTATTTCGCCATCAGCACCAAAGAAGAACAGAGTCGGTTTCTTATCGGTCACCTTATTCACCCATTCGTCGACAACACTACTGCTCTTGATGTGTTTGTCCAAGGCGAGTCGAGTGTATTTGGCAGTCGAGTAAGCGCAGATTCCATGCTTCATCATCTTGACTCGGTGTTTGATGTAGTTCAGCCACATTGACCCTTTTGGCGACGGCATCACTGGATACAGATCACGATTTTCTCTGTCTGCGCGCTCCATTTCGACGAAATTTTTGGTCCATCGCTTTGCTTTGGCATTTCGCACCTTTTGACCTGTTTGCCAGTGGAATTGCTTGCTCGACATTACAAAGTTGGTCTGAAAAAATAAATAGAAAAAAAGGTATAGTTATTGAGTTTTGGCACTTAAGTATTTTCTATTAAAATACACACAACTTATTCAAATATATACAAAACTTACTTCTTTGCCAGTTTCAATGTCGTGTGTTGTTGTGGTATTCCAACTTCGCACACCTGTATCAACGCCCGAAAAATTTTTGATTGTGCCATCCTCAATCTTCTGAATGATGCGAGATTTTTGGTCGATTTCTTTGTTGGCTGTCTTCTTTTTGGCCGAGTACTGGAGAGACACAGAGATTCCATCGGTGTTTATGGAATAGTCAAACTGCTTTTTGGCACGCACGAATCGTCGAATTTTTCGCAAGTAAAAATACTGATTCCACCAATAATCTCTCGAATGATTGAAATCCTTTTGTTGAATCGTTTTCGTGCTTGTTGTTCCTTTTTTATTCTCGATTTCCACTTTCGGTAGCAATTTTTGCGAAGACAACACCTGGTGCATGGATGAACAATCGATTCTGAAGTGCGTACGCCGGAAATCACACATCGGCACCACTACTAAATTTCGAATCAATGGCCGAAAATCTGGGTTGTCGAGCATTTGGCTGCGCTTGCGTTTCCATTTTCCTTTTGTCTTTTTTCGCTTTCTCTTCTTGCGTTTGGGTCGGCGCTGATGTGGCCACTCCGAATTGTACTCTTCTATCTCGCGCTGCATGGATAGGTACATTGGCATGGCCTTATACCAATGTTTTGGGTCAGTTGTAAGGTCATGCAGATCGATATCTGGGAACACATTCAGGTCGTTCACCATGTCATACAACACGCTACACCGTTCGAGTTTGTTTGGATCGCGACTTGGCACTTTGATGTCTTTTTGTTTGATGATCAGATTCACAACACTTGCGATGTCACTTGGCAAAAATTTCTCTGCATCATCTCCTACGTCTGAGTTCCATTGGAAAACCTTCAGTTTCAAGTACTGGGTGATGTGTTTGTTAGCATGCGTTTCAAGATTGGTGACGACGTTATCTGTGTACTGATTGGTCAAATGCTTGAGGCCATTGCCGAAATCTTTGTTGTTGGGCCAATCGATACGATGATAGTCGTCAAGACCTTCGACAATTGCCTTGAATTCAGGATCGATACGTGGCAGCTCTGCTCGTGGTCCTCGTGGCTTTGTTCCGCTTGGTTTATACCTTGACTTCGGTTTTGGTGGCTGATTGTTGTGCCATAGCACTTGTTCAAAGCAGAGTTTGATCTTATCTTCTCCACTTCCACCAAACAATGCGAAATTATTGTTCTCGACGCCTATATTCGAACGCCTTTTGCACCTCAAACAAGAACAGCAATGAGCCCAAAACACAAATGGAAGTGGCTTGCAAACTCAGATCCGTTATTTTGCTCATCAATGCTTGCTGGTATTGTGGGCGAATGATTGTCTTTAGCGCACATTTGATCGTCGTAATTTCATCTTTCGTCTCTCCCTCCGCTGGTATTGATGGCTTGAAACGATTCGCCATTGTCCTACTGAAAGAAAAAAAACACACATTCGATTTAGTTTGAAAACGAATAATATTGAAACTTAAATTCGATTTAGTTTGAAAATGACAACAGAATGAGACACACAAAAATGACTTCGGTTTGATAACAATGGCATTGATTCAATTTGAGTTCGAACAGTAATCGATTAACTGTTTCTCTTCTCCGAACAATGGACTCAATTCATTGCATAAAATGAATTTCACCATCACACGTATTTCACCATCACATGTAACAGAACTATGTACTGCAGAATTATTGTGAAATTCATTACTTTTGTACATGGAATCTAATATTACTGTTGATATGTTCAATATATTTCACGTTATAAATGCTTATAAAACGTTTTTAAAATGAATTCCACAATAAGAAGAAGAGATTGAAATGATCAAGTTTACTTACACTTTGGCGACTTGAATTCAATGTGAACTCCGGATCAAATCGATACAAAACGCACGTAAATCGAAAATAAAACGAAATGAAATACCAGCAAAATCGTAGATAAATTAAATTGCAATGTAAATTTCCAGTTTAAATTGTAAGATAAAATGTAAGAGTTTCAATTTGTTGACTTCGTGTTCACAACGCTGTATGTTTTCTCGGAATGAATGATGCGGCGTCTGTGACATTTCGAAAACTGCTGAAGTGAATGTCAAATGCCATACGGATCGGTTCACATTGCTAATTTTTAGAACATTAGACAATTTGAGCTACAAAGAGTCAATTAGTACTAACACATAAAAACGGTTATATTTCGGTGAAATTCCAAATTTATTAGCAATGAAGGACGATTTATTGTTTGATTCCGATTTTTTGGGCCGAAATCTGCGTAGAAATCATATATTCTTATTTGACTCCCCAAACCTGAACACCCTAGTGTACCAGCTGGATGTAGCTATCGTCAATTTATACATTACGGTCAATTGGCAACATCAGGACGCTTTCAAAAGTTTGATTATGGTTCGACTGAAAATCTAAAATTGTATGGAACACCAAATCCGCCAGAATACAACTATTCAAATATTAAAACTAAAATTCACATCATGTACGGTACCCATGATTATTTGGTCATGCAAAAGGTGAGGTCCATTCACAAATAACAATAACTCTTAATTGATTCCGGACGATCCTTCACTGAACCGTTGAATGGCCCATTATGTTGTTTCCTAAAATAATATCGAGCAATTTTGTTTCGCATTCTAGAATATGCCAGCACTAATAAAAAAGCTGAATCATTCCATATTTTTAGTAAGCAAATTTGACCTATTCAATCACTTGGACTTTGTATATGGTCGCCTCGTACAAAATGTTCAGAAATCTATTTTGAAGGTGACAAATCAATTTGTCAAAACCATAAATGACAACAGGTAAACCATTATTAAGCACAAACTAACATTTATTACAATTTACACAAAGATTAAAAAATGTTTTCACATGATTTACAGTTTTCGAAATATAAATGTTATGCTCTTTCAAACATTTAATTTACGGTATCTTTCTTCGTTGGTTCAAGAAAATTGAACGAATTTTTAGCTAAGATAAAGCATACTTTCCTTTTTTTTCAATTACTTCAGATTCATGAAGTTAAAGATTTTCTGTTATTCATCATTGATGTTTTGATTTAAATAGACTCCTTGTGGTGATTGTGCCATTTGAAGAATGGTTTGAGGTTGGTTTTGTAATTGATTTTGCAGTTGATTTTGTAGCGAAGCTGCTGATATCAGGATTGGTTGCTGATTCTGATTTTGTACTTGCATACGTAGCAAATTTTGCGGAATGTTTATCTGCGGAAAGAAAATTTGACAACGAATTAGATCAAATGTAGTACGAAATGTATTGCAACGGTGAATATTCCAAGAAAAACAGTTGATAGTCATCAAATGGAAGTTTTTCTATCGAATAAAAAGTTAGCCATATTGCAACTTACTGGCATGTGCTGAATTTCTCCATTTGGTGTGACAATCTGTTGGAGCAGTTGAATGGGCGGTTGCGTTTGATGATGTGCCGCTGCTTGTAAACCACCTGAAAAGAAAAGAAAATCACGAGCATACATTAGTCATCCAATTACATTTGGTTCCGTTCCGTTTAGTATTCATATTCAAAATGGCATCAAAATCTTTACCCAAATTATTGACAACACCTCCAACCGATGAAATCTGTTGGCCCGTATTTGTGACTAGAATATTCTGTGGTTGCCCATTTGCGTTTATCGTTGTGATCGGCGCCAGTTGCCCGGTTGATAGTTGAATTGTGTTTTGCAACGTTTGTGCATTCAATGTGTTTGCATTGGTCATTGTTGCCGTTTGCGTCGCTGCCATATTGTTCGTGTTCTGTAGTGCTTGTTGATGCTGTTGTGCCAACTGAAGATAATATTGCACTTGATCACAGTTTGTTTTGGTTGGAGCTGCTGCCGTTGCCGTCATCGTCGTCGTTGTCGTCTCTTTTCGTACGGGCTTAATTTCTTCTCGAGGCACAATGTCAATTAAAAAGTCGAACTGATCAAATTTGGAAATTGCCATGGCAATATCGTTTCGCTGGAGTGTACGGCGCTTATTATTCTCCGTATGGACCCAAGCACGTAATGTTAACTCATGAATAAAAATTTCGGCTGCTTTGGCAAACAGTAAAGGCGCTTCGGCCGATATCATCTTCACATCTTCGTCTAATTTCATGATCTTTTTGATTCGAGCCAATGGTAATACTTGATTTTTCGCATCGACCGTTTTGATCCGTTTTATTTCGTCGGTTATTGTCGGCCAAAAACCCGCAAGCGTCACCTCAGCTTCTGTGAGTGTGGCATTTTCATCAGTTACACCGTCGTTGTTCTCATTCGATGTGTCCTGAGCACTGAAATCACACAAGAGAAAATTAGTTTTATTTTGCAGAGAGGGCGCTAGTGTCATACTTCATAGAACAAATTATAATGCATCAGAGAAACAAAAGGAAAAACCAAACTATTTTAATGCACTATTCCAGATTGACTTCAATTTTTATGAATAAGATCAGAAACGATTTTCAACTTCTTCTATTTTACAACAAAAATCGTCGAAATGAGTAAAACTTTGCGCATGATTTTCTTTGCACTGTGTATAGCATCAACACAACACGTCATATCATAGCAAACAAAACGAGAGAAAAGTGAAAATTTGATGAAATGAAAATCAAATAAAATCTTTGGACCACTTCTATCTTTTCGTGAAAAAAAAATTATTCGTTTCATTCAACAGCACGATTTTATTCATAATCCCATCTAAGTGGATTTTCTTCACATTTAACCTATTTTCCATCTATGTCGTATATTTTTACAGTACAAATGTTCAAACACAAATCTCACCTATTTACGAAAATCATTGTTTTCAATTTTTTCTTCCCTCTGCGTATAATTCCAAGCGACCAATTTCTTAAAACCAAATGTCTTATCTTATTTTCTTAAATCAACACCGTCAATTTGTTACAACTTCAATTAAGTGCATGGAATTGCTTAGAACTGCATCATTTTGTCACATTCAATTTTTATCTTATTACAATTTTTTACGAAAAATCCGCACAAATTCAACCGTAAAACTTTATCGGCACAATGAATGTGATCAAAACAACAAATTTGCACTAATTCAAATAGCACGTGTTTGCCAATAGTTGTTTGGGGTATCAAAAACCAATGAAAAACCGATGAGATTTTTAGAGACCAATCACGAAATACAAAACACTCCATACGAATAGCAAGCAATCCAATAGAAAACGCTATTAGGCCGCCATTTATCATGATTGGCTCAGCATTTTGACAGTTGTGCCCATACAATAACACATTGTATACGGTGAACGAGTTTGAGTGCGCATGTATTGGTCATAGATAGTATTGCATTGTTTATGCTGCAAGATATCGGTTTTTATTTTAAATGCGGGCACAGAATTTCAATCCTGAACAACGATTTTCATGCAGTTAATTCCAGTTCGTTTGTCTTATGTCAATCTTCTTTTTTTATCATTTATTTATTTTTGAAAAAAAAAACCTGTATGAAGGAGACTGAAGTTGCTTCAACAGTGGTGCCAACTTGGAAAAACCAAATCTAAATTCAATGCTACCAATGCCTTGACTAAAAACCATTTAAAAGACGTACGTTTTTAATAAATGTTATATATTTGCTATATAAATGAAAATAATTAAAACAATTATTTGATTCGATCAATCAAATATGAAATTTAATTAAAATCCGCTTCAAAACTGTAGTCTTGGTCACCACCGCTCATATCGAGTGAGAAATTCTCTAACACATCAGCGACAGCGTTTACCTTCTTTTCGTTGCGTTTGCCTTTTTTCTTTGCCTTTTTTTGCAGTTCTTTCAGGTTTTTGTTGCTCGTCTGGTTACCTAATGAAATATTCAGAATGATAAGAAAGTGTTTGGATAAAATCAATTTTTCAACTAACCTTCTAGCAACATTTCTGGATCGATTTTCTTTTCTGCTTTTCGACTGCGTTTTGGTTTTGAATCTTCATCGTCTGACTCTTCCATTTTACTGACGGATTCATCTTCGATTATATGGGCTTTTTGATCCATTTGAACCGGACCAGAGCTTGTCACTTCCATAACTTCTTCTACTTTGACCGTAAAATGGTTCAACACGTCGGTTTCCATTTGTTCAAGGTTATCGATATCGAATTCACGAGCCTCGTCACTCACAATTGAAGCGCTAATATGTACACTGGAATCGGTTTCGGGCGGTTGAGTGCAATATTTTATCTTTCCGGTATTCCAATCGTTCAGCAAACTACGAGCAGCTCCTTCGGCATCTGGCACACCACCACGACGGAATTTACCCATTCGAGCAGCTTTTTTCGCAAAGAATTCTTCCGGTGTGTCGTATTCCGAAATGTCGTACAAACGGCAGAAATAATTCTTGCTGGCACGTTGCAAAATCGATTCGGCTACTTTGAATGGGTCCTTCACGTCACTAACGCGTTGTGCATTTTTCAGTGTGTTCGAGGTAATTTGATCACTGTCATTTTTCGTTTGTGTAAACACAATTCCCGGGCAATCAATCAATTTGATTTTTGAATCCAGCTCAACTTCTTGCATGACTCTGTGGAATGGAACGGAATTGCTTTAAAACGATTCGCTATAAAAACTAAAAAATGCTGATCAAGTGGTTTCGAACTTCATTGAAATATAGTCCTTACCTTGTAACACCTGGTGTGCCACCAACGTTGCATGCTCGGCCGCGGGTCAACGAATTGATGATGGAACTTTTACCAACGTTTGGTATGCCAACAATACCGACCCGAATTGATGTCTTGATACCTTTGTTACGGCAATAATTTGCTAACATTGACATCAGAAGCTCAGCACCGACACAAGGTGAGCCTTGGAGTAATTTTTCCGTATTTGCACCTTTGCCAAATTTTCGGCGTCCCAAACGACTATTTTGATCTTGAGTTGAGGCTTTGAATGCGGTCGCTGGTCCCGAGCGACGCAAATATTTCAACCAATTGTCTAGATTTTCACGTGGCACTAAATCGGCCTTATTGAGTACAACAACTAAACGCTTGTTACCGGGTGCTGCTTTGACGGCTTTTTCCACCTCAACGCATCGCGTTCCAAGTGGATCACGTGCATCCACCACCTCTAATATAACATCAGCATTTTCAATTACCTTGCGAAATTCCTTGAAATACGCACGCAGCGAGTTTTCTGTATTCTTGGCTTCTTTATACACTTTGCCACCGTCACTGGCATTTGTTTTGCCATCGTTCAGCGCATCGTGAATGGCATCACGCATTTCAGCACCTTGTACCATTTCTTCGAGCGTTTTTTCGCGGCTCTTTTGTTTCTGTTGAATTTTCTCCAATTTCCATTCTTCTCGTTTCTGTAGACGTTCCTCTTCCTTGCGTTGTTTATGTTCGGCCACCTCTTTCAATATGTCCTCTTTGAATGGGCAAATGTTTGGTATTTGTATCAATTTACTTTTGGCACCTTTACCTTTTGGATTTTTGCGCGCTTCTTTACGCACTTTACGCTTGTGTTCACGCACTTTCTTCAGAATTTTATATTTCTGTGCGCAAGTTTTTCGCTTGGATTGCTTGGCTAAAAACAAATGGAAGCACACACAAATTTTTCAATTAATATCCGTTTATGTTTATGAACCAGATAAGTTATGTGCTTGTTCAAAAGAATACTTACTTTTCAATCGCTTCAACGCCATTTCTGTGGTTTATTCTATATTCGAACAGGAAAATGAATCAAAATAAATACGAGCACGAGAGTTACTTGACTGATACACACGTGTGTTCGCTATTCTGTTTAAGGTTAATTTGACTTGACTTGACTTGAAAATGTCAAACTCCATACATATGTATGATGTGTTTTCAACCTAACCTCACATTTTTCCATCTGTCAATTTTATCGTATTGCATGTGCTGGACGATACAAGCATGTGCACATTTATGTACATACATTAGCCGGCAAGTTTTCTATGATTTTCATGATACAGATTTTATGCATGTTTAATTGAGAAAAAATTAATGCGAGATTATTCCGGTATAAAACGAATAATTTTTAAAGCATGCTAAAATGGCTTGGAGATGAAGCTTAGCGAGTCTCGAACAATGAAAATGACATAGGTTAACAATGAAAACAGCAATTGTTGGAGATTTTTCAATGAGGTGATTGTAGTTCAATCAGTTGATTACTGCGATTATTAGCTTCCAAATCTACTTGAGCAATTATCATGAAAATACAATGCAACGTATAATTCAAAATAAATAACACAACGGTCGAATATTTTTTAACATTCGTTTATCCGAAAATATGAAGTAAAGTTTTTATTTTTTTTCCGTTTTCATTCACACGAATACACTTGTTGTTGTGTAAGAGTATGCGGATGTTAACTTCTTATTTTCCCTTTGTTTTTGCATTTTCAGCGTTTTCGGCGGCTTCTCGGGCTTTCTTGGCACGGATTCCAACCAAACGAGCATCAACACGAGCCTAAAAAATGGAAAGAAAACGAAAATGGCCACATTAATCGATTGTCTCAATGTTCATAGTTTTTTCACTCCATCAAAAATCTCATGGCAATACTTACACGACGCAAAGTGTGGAAAGCGTTGAATTTCTTTTCTTCGTCTGTGATTTTACGGAATTCAACTTCTGCAACTGGTTTGGTGAGTGGCAGAACTGGTCCCTTGAATTGTGTGGCAGTTTTGCGTTCTTCTTCCGTGGCTTCACCTTTGCGCAATTTGCGGTTAGCGTGCACTGGGAACAAGATCAACTTGCTGCGGTATTCCTTCAAGCGTTGGATATTCTCTTGTTGTCCTTCGACCGACTTGTTACGACGTCTACGGTCAACGGCGATGCCAATGGTTTGAGCAAAACCTGCGGTCAAACCAGCACCCTAGAAGTGTTGGAAAAAAACACACAATTTCCATTAATGAACGAACTTAATATGATTATGCGAACTTATCGCGATGTGCAATGGAAATGTTATTCACAAATAATCACTTCTTCACCATCACACAATTCTAACACACAAAAATGACATTTGTATCACACACACAATGTGTGGCTCACAATCATATTTCGCCTAGCGTTTATTTTTGCTCGATTTTTGTAGACAAATCGTGTCTCTACCACAAACTTACTTTCAATTCTTCAACGGTGAAACCACGTCCAATGCGTTGCTTTGTGTGGTAACGAACTGTTGGGCATCGTACAACTGGACGAAGTGGGCCAGCAGCTGGTCGTGGGAAAACTTCCTTGGCTTTCTTGATGCGGTTAACACGACGACGGTGTTTGCGTGCGGGTTGGTTGAACCAGGTTCTCACATGACGTTGCCAGTACTTGTGAAAGTGCTGGTTTGGAACCATATTATTTCCCTTACCCATCTTGAATGATTTTTTTTTTGTTACCTACAACAACAAAATTAATGTCACAACATGAATCAATACATCGCTTCAACACTGTTTCCGAAAAAATGTGAAATTTTCAGCGAAAAATTATCGAAAATTATTAAATTCACTATTCAATCGAACGAGATTTGTGCAATGAATAATTTTCTAGAAAAATTTTCAGTTTAATTACAAGGATGATTGGAATATTTTTCGATTTTTTCGCACTATGAAATTCGGATCGCACTTACTTGCACGCCAACAAAAATGTAAAGACCTGTCAAACGGTTCGACGGAGTCAATGTACGTTGAATTGGGGTTGCCAACGCAGAATTGAACGAAACAAGTCCGGCAATGACAGGCGATTGAACGAATGCGTTGATATGCGTTAAAGGTTTGACGTCGAGGTACTGAGGACTGTTTTGTATGTAAAAAAAGAGGAAAACAATGAATAATATAAAATAAATTACAAAATGAATGTTGAAAAACGATGAAATATTCAAAGTAAAATCGTAATTTTTTTCATCATATTTTAATTCAACCCATTGAAATTAATTTGATTACGTTGGCCATTATGGCAACACGAAAATTTGTTTGCGTTACTAATCGATGCGTTGAAGAGAAGAAGAGAAAAAAAAATTTGTACGAGACCGGTTGTCAAAGTCAAGTGTTCTCGCCACACTTTTGCACATACATTAGTTCTAATTGATATTGATTATATAGATATTCAATCATCGCGATATCCATTCAATTGTTTACAAATTTAAATCGAAACCAATTCAGTTCCCGATGGGTGACTCAAATAAAAATGATGTCAACGTGACCAACGATAGCGAGAATACGGCATCATCAAAACCAAGTACGCAGTCGAAGAAAAAGGAACGTCGACAAAAAGCAAAGAATCAATTGGGTGCGGAACATGCAGTCGCTGAAAAAGATGGTTCCAACGAACAAAATGAAAAGACAGAGGCTGATGTTGCGGCCGGCGGTGCGGCCATCGCAACTGAGGCAGCCGATTTGATTGATGAAGCAAAACTGAAAAGTTTATTGGACGAAGCGTACAAATACAAATCGAATCCAAATATGCTGCCAGCGTTGTTGCGTGATGCAGCAAAAACGCCACAAGAAGCAATGACAAAATCGTTTAAATTCTGGTCAACACAACCGGTTCCAAAGTTCGACGAAGTGGTCGAAAAAAGTGAAGCCATCGAACCAAACAAGGAGGTTGCTGAAATTCGTGCCGATCCCTATGCATTGCCCGACGGTTTCAAATGGGAAACTATGAAATTGGACGATCCATTGATTCTGGCCGAACTGTACACGTTGTTGAACGAGAATTACGTCGAAGACGACGATGCAATGTTCCGTTTCGATTATCAACCAGATTTCTTAAAATGGGCACTTCAACCACCCGGATGGCGTCCAGGTACATATACTTTTCAGCTCATTCACACTCCGCGAATATAACAATGTTTATCGATTTTTTTTTTCCAGATTGGCATGTGGGCGTTCGTGTCGTAAAATCCGGATTGCTCGTCGGTTTCATCTCAGCTATTCCTGGTCATATTCGTATCTATGACAAAACGGAGAAGATTGTTGAAATCAATTTTCTATGTGTTCACAAAAAGCTTCGGTCAAAACGTGTTGCACCCGTACTCATCCGTGAAATCACCCGTCGAGTCAATTTGACTGGCATCTTTCAAGCCGTTTACACAGCGGGCGTTGTTCTACCCAAACCAATTGCCACTTGTCGTTATTGGCACAGATCATTGAACCCAAAGAAATTGATTCAGGTGAATATTGAGGCACGGTCTATTCGTACGGTAAAATTTACTTTTAGCCTCACAGGCTGTTCGTACGGTGAATTTCAGAATTTCGTACGAATAGATATAGAGCCTAAACGTACGGATCGTACGAATAATTTTTCTCCGTATATTTAGTCTCCATGTCTATTCATACGAAATTCTTGAATCCATCCGTATAAACAAAAAAAATGATTCTGTTTCGAAAAATGTTAGCAATAAACAAAAAACAGCAACAACAAACCAATTTGATTACTCATTTTTGGTGAATTGTGTTTGGGCTGCAAATCATGATTGAAATCAAACTGATTGATTGTACTGTCTTCAAGTGCAAAAATCAACTCGGTCTGTCTGCGTGAACGAAATTAATTGCTAATTCGGCAATTTTGGGTTCAAAACAGTTGATCGGTCTACAATCGATTGTTTTGAATCCGAAATTGTCGAATGAGCAATTATTATTTTTCACGCAGACAGACCGTGTTGATTTTTGCACTTGAAGACAGTACAATCAATCAGTTTGATTTCCATCATGATTTGCAGCCCAAACACAATTCACCAAAAATGAGTAATCAAATTGGTTTGTTGTTGTTGTTCTTTTTTTTGTTTATTGCTTCCATTTTTCGAAACAGAATCATTTTTTTCGTTCATACGGATGGATTTAAGAATTTCGTATGAATAGACATGGAGACTAAACATACGCAGAAAAATTATTCGTACGATCCGTACGTTTAGGCTCTATATCTATTCGTACGAAATTCTGAAATTCACCGTACGAATAGCCTCTGAGGCTAAAAGTAAATTTTGTACGATTTTTATCGTACAAATAGACCGTGCCGAATATTGAAATTGTTCTCTTCTCAATTCCTTACTTTTCCCGACTAAATCCCGTATTTTAATCCCCAAAATTTAGATCAAATTCTCGAGTTTGTCGCGAAACATGACCATGCAACGTACGATCAAATTGTACAAATTACCTGATGCACCCGTCACACCGGGCTTCCGGCAAATGACGAAAAAGGACATACCACAAGCATTTAAATTGCTTGCAAACTATTTGAAAACATTCAAATTGACACCGATCTTCTCGGAGGAGGAGTTTAAGCATTGGTTCTTACCGAAAAATGGAATCATCTCAGCGTATGTGGTTGCCGATCCGAATGGTGTCATCACCGACTTGGTTAGCTTTTATGCGCTTCCATCGACGGTAATGCATCATCCGACGCATAAACTGATTCGGGCCGCCTATTCGTTCTACAATGTGTCAACGAAAACGCCATGGTGTGATCTGATGAACGATGCATTGATTGCAGCAAAAGCCGACAATTTTGATGTCTTCAATGCACTTGATGTCATGGACAATACGAAATTTTTGCGCGAACTTAAATTCGGTATCGGTGATGGTAACCTACAATATTATTTGTATAATTGGCGTGTTCCGCCAACCAAACCAGACGAAATGGGTCTAATTTTGCTTTAATTATTAATTTACTCTGAGATGAATGCGGAGAAATTCGATTCGCTTTATTCGAAATATAAGCTTATTGGTAGAGGTGTATCAATGAACAGAACCAGCAACATGAAATATATACACTTCTTGGGTTTTCTCAAACGTAATTGCAGTTTTTCTTCTTACATTTTCTTCTTTCTCAAGTTTTTCCTCTTTAGGTTTTTCTTTCAGAAGTTTGCGCGAACGCGGTATACGTATCACAAGACACGTCGCATTAGCGGCAAAATTATAACTTGAAAGTGTATTACCGTTGCATTATATGCTTCATACAATTCATGGTGTTTTATATCCACTAACAGTACGGCAGTCAAATACTCACATTCCTTGAATGTGTGAATGTAATTACTGTTCCATACGAAATGGATTGAAATGCTTCAGCGTTTACTAATTAGAGAGAGAAAGAGAGAGTGAGAGAGAGAGAAAGAGAGAAAAAAATCATGCGAGAACAACATAACGATGAACTCTCCTGAACGTGATCTAAAATAATGGAATATGTGTCTCAAAGGAGAGAAAAATGAGGCTCTACAATTAAAACCGTTCGTTAACAAGCACGTAGCATTCTCAACCATTTTCTTCTCTGTGAAAAGAAAGTTTGCGAGTGTGTTTGATTGCACAGCAGGTTCGGCTGCTACAGTGTCACTGTTTGCAGCGCTAGTTCCATAGTTCCGACGTTGAATAGTAATGTTAGCGTATGAAAAAATTTACAACTTTCATTGATTATAGTTCAAGGCTGAAACAAGAAGTGTTATTTAAAAAATTCATACTGTCATTTCATTTGAAGGCTCTGGGCGGAATATTGGGGTCCGTAAATGATGTTTTTGCTTCAATGCTATTTATATGGAACTTGAAAATGCTCCGTATTTTGTTCATATATGGAAAGCCGAGCCTAAATTGAAAATTTTACATTATACCAAAAGCCTGAGTCATTTTTCTAATTAAGGAAAATGTTAGTAAATCGGTAGATAATGGTTGATATCTTCATTAAAAACAGTAGATAAACTGGAAAATAAAGGAGAAAAAAAAATCGCTATGTCTATTTCTGACGGCAACTTAAAAATTGGTTTAGAATTTGTGCTCTGCATAATACATTGTTTTCTCTTCAACAGGAAATTTCCCCTCATAATATTATTCAAATGTTGTTTTTTTCCACGAAAATGATAGCCAAAGTGACGCAAGTGGTTGGTTGATTTGGTGTGCTATTCAGGTATAGACGCTTTATTTTGCCGAATATACGTTTACATTGCCTCAATGCTTCATACCAATAATATTTTAGAAAAAAAAAAACGGAAAGCCACGCACATACACAGCAATAAACTTAGACATTCTATTATTATTACCTGTTACGATGGTTTTCATGTTGTTGCTTTGCCGTTTTCAAAAAGCATGTTGAAAAGCCCTTGTATGACGACAACATTTAACTAACAAGTGTGTTTAATCAAAAAAAAAAATAAGAGAAGAATGTGTGTCTGCGCAGTATCCATCCATCCAACAAAGAGCAAAATCTACTCGTTATTTATTCTTCTTCTTTTTTTACATGCTATACTTCTTGTTCATTCGGCTGTGTATATCGAGCATTGAGTTTCCATCTTTCTCTGACACATCGTTTCGGTCTTGATAAATATTTTCTCGTTTTCCTTTTTTGCTCCATTGAAATTTCCATCTGAGAGCATATCGAAACAAGCTTTAAATACATTCGCATCTCACACACAGTCACTTAATTCCTCACTCACTCACACAACGCACACACTCACACATACTCAAGTACAAAGACTGGCTGGCTAACTGGCAGGCAGGCAGGCAGGCTGGCTAAGAGAGAGATAGAGTCGTCCACTTTTCTAAGCACTTTTATAGCAAATGGTAAATGGTTCGTTGTATTCATGTGTATACCGATACGACATCCCAGAATATTATATGTTCTATATGAGCTACAGGCATATGTGCCTTCGTCTGTTCTTCAGACAGGTAGAAAAGAGTGTTCTCTGCTGGAGTATCAAGAGCATAAACTGTTTGTAAAAAATAAGGGAAATCATATACTCTTTGGATACACACAGAAAATACACGAAAGAAGTGAATAAAGAGCAAAAAAATAATAATAATAAAAGTGTCGCATCCAGATGCCTTCAGTTCACCTTGAATTTGTGTTTATTAAGTTTACTCTCAGTGTGTGCCACACATAGTGTGTGTATTTGTCGATGATTGCATATATTCAGCATAATTTTGCAGTTGTGAACCAAATGTCGAATGAACAATAAGAGCATTGAATTTTTGAGTGAATTTTAAACGCTTCATCTCGTTTGTTCGGGACAATTTCTTTTCATGCGATTTACACCGATTTTGATTTGTGCGAAAGTGTAAAAATAAAAGACTTGAATCTTTTGCATTTTGTTAAATGTGTTCTTAAACGTAATTATCTTCAAAATTTTGCTTATTATTGTGAAGTTCATAAGTGGAATAGTACTGAAAGCCGAGTCCAAGTTCAAAAACGACCCGAGTCCAGCACAGGATACGAAAGATTGATCTCTTACGCTTATCTGAGTCTAAAGATGTTTCAAGTGTTTATTTATGAAAGATCCCGAGATGGTTAACTGTTAAGAGAAAAATATATATAAAGCGATATTCAAACGAAAGAACGTATGGTATTCAACTCACAGATTCAACTGAAAAGTACGTAGAAATCGGTGCTTCCATTTACATTTTATCAAAAAGGAAATACTCGTTTGCAGCGTGATTTTTTTCTCTCGCAATTCGTGCAAAATGAATTTTAAATGTGTCGATAAAATTTATTCATAACCTTATTGAATTTTCTACAATAATGAAGCAAAGCACGAAGGAGAAAAGGAAATATTCGAAGTTACTTTAGAGAATATAGATAGGAATTAGGATCTAATTTTTTTCCTGGCTCTGCAAAGAAATAAGAAGAAAACATCGCAAAAAAAGACTTTGAGAATAATAAAAAGATGAAAGTAATTGAAAAGGACAAAAGAAAAAGTTTGTTTGAGCAGAAAAAAAAAATCAATACAGCGGAACAGCAACGGGGAAAGAGAGAAAAGAAGAAGAAACGGAAAAAATGATGAAAAGCTCACGACATCTCTCGTTGGAGAGTTTTGCACGACATGAAAGCAGTAATTTGTCATTTAAATTTGCCTCAAGTGTTTTGGTTAGTTTTGCCACTTGTGCTTTGAACATAACAGCTATGTTAACTTATCTCGCGTCAGGAATGCGAGCGAGCCATGTATTCTTAGGCAACATTTTCTTAACGAAACCAAATTGGATGTATTGCGAAGAATATATTTGCGCTACTTTGGTATGTTCAACACACTGAGAAAAGGTATATTTGAGTTTCATCGAACATTCCATAAGACAGTTATGATGCACAATAAAAATACACATTTTTTTTAAAGTTCAAACTTAACTTTCAAAACAATATCATTTTGAGGCAAAACTTTTGGCAAAATCAAGCTTTTCACTTCAATCGTCATCCCTTTTCTATCGATGAAAGTATTTCAAAGTTGAATTTACAAATCAAAACTTGTTGTGAAATCGGGCAAGCGTACAAAAACCGTGAACTTGAAGTACCTTGAATACGAAAAATGTATACCACACGTTTAATTGGTGGTTTTACCTTCATGCGGTTTTGATAAGCAAATCACATTTCGAATCGAGCATTTGGGCAAAACTACACCACTTCGGTGGAAGTCTAATCTGCAGCTATTCAAACACTGAGAAAAGGGTGAAAGGAAATATTCCAACCCTGCGTTGTAAATGTTGTCATTGCAGATGATTTTGTGAATTGTCCAACCATGGTTGGAATTTGACAAGTGCGAAAATGCTATCAATATTCCAACCATGGTTGGACAATTCACAAAATCATCTGCAATGAAAACATTTACAACGCAGGGTTGGAATATTTCCTTTCACCCCTCTCTCAGTGGAGCGCTTTCCAATGCCAAAAAACCGCTTAATATGCTATCTATGGACGGATTGAGAAACAAATGAGCAATTATCTCGGCAGACAGTAATTATAAACACTTCGGAAACATACACAACACTTGAAGTTTCCTTGTTCGTGATAAACTTCGAGTATGTGTGTGTGTGTGTGTGTGTGTGATGAGAGCTCCTCATAAATACCTACACGCGATTCATTTTGTAAGGGCGATTTTGTGTGTGATAATATCCAATATCCACGTCTTCCTTACAAAAAGCGTTAATTTGGCTTAATGAAGAACACATTAGAAACATTAATTAAATTAACAAAAAAACATTTTGTAGATAAAAAAGCTGTTTTCAAAAGCAATTGGATGTATTACTTGAAAAAAAAGAAACACTGCCAATTGTCATTCAGCATGAAATGTGGTTGTAATTTTCCATGTACACTACCGTGCAAGAGTTTGGAACCACTAGGTATTTTTCATACAAATTGACCATTTTTGGTGGACTCATTAACATATTTCGGAAACACCTGTACTCTTGATATTTCGTGCATAGTTTCTACAACGTTTCAATAGTAAATCACAGAGGTTTCATCAAAAAATATTCACGTATTTAAAAAATATATCAATTTGAATTTGATCTGTTTTAATCTTCATACAAATTTGATCATTTTTCACACAGTACAAATTCAAATTGATATATTTTGGAAATTCATGAATATTTTTTGATAAAACCTCTGTGATTTACTATTGAAACGTTGTAAAAACTATGCACAAAATATCAAGAGTGCAGGTGTTTCCGAAATATGTTAATGAGTCCACCAAAAATGGTCAATTTGTATGAAAAATACCTAGTGGTTCCAAACTTTTGCACGGTAGTGTATGTTGAACATACATTCAACCAGTGTGCATGAGTCACTGTGCCTATAATGCCTGAGAACAAAGTCAACATTGCTGAAAATAAATTATCGATTTGTGGGATATTTCTACAAATATGTCGGTATATTCAATATTCGCAAAGTCATCACAACATCAGACTCTATCTCTCTCGTCACTCTGATGTACATCGCAAAGCGTTTGTGAATCTCTGAAAAGGACACATTTAGCTTGATTGTATACATATAACTATATCACACTCACACACGCCGAACAAAAAATCGTTTAAGTTAAAAATAATCTGCGGTGCATTTGGATATACTGAAACCGAGTAACTGTCCAAGATGGTTTGTGAAATTTGTTTAGAGTGGCTGATAGACAGTCGAGGATAGGGCCTGGAATGATTTTCGTATGCCGCTCATAAACTTTTATTAAACTAACCCCCGAAAAAAAAACGCTTCGCTATAATTAAAATTGGATAAATTGGGGAAAACTTTGAAACGAGGAGCACATTTGAATAGAATCAAATTATAAAGGAAGTAGGACAGACCTAAATATTCATTGCCACGAGTTGACTTTCAAATAACATCGATAGAAATAGATATTTCAAATTCTAAAATGTCACGGTTGAAATTCTAAAAAAAAAAATGTTAAACTGTTTTCAGCTGGTCAATAAACTTCAGCAGGGTATTTAGTTACGTTTGATACGTATTCATTGTAAACCAAGGGAAAAATCAACATCGATAAACAAAAATGCGGCGAGCATCATTCACACCAGCATTCAAAGTGAGTGTCGACGAACCATTGATCGTGGTGGATGAGTCTGAGGAGTTGGAAAATGAGCCCACATCGCCCAAGTCAATCGAAGAGGAAGTGGACGATGACAAAGACTCACCAGACAATCCGTATTTGTTGTCACCATTTCGAGATCCTCGCGAAACACGAAAACACTCTTTACCAAACATACAGTGCACAAGTGGCATAATGGCCAGTCAAGTGCGTCGGCTCTCAGATGGCGGCGACAATGCACCCTCTACAAGTGAAATGGCATTTCTAGCAAAACTATCTCAGGTAATTTTAGCGCTTTTTTATAAAAACCTTCTCTCCCCCCGAACCATGTCTTATCATCTAAAAATAATCTCGTATCTATTTGAGTCGAATTGTCCTTGATTCAAGTGCATTGCATAAAGCATTCAATTCGTGTTGGTTTTTTTTTGCACTATTTTCCAGGCGTCTACTTCATCTGGTCGACGACACTCGATTGTGACATTCACTCGCGTTCCACAAACACTTTTCGGCCGTAACAGACGAGAATCATTTGCTGCCTTCGCTTCGACGGGTGATGCGTAAGTTGTCATCATCTCAACATATTCAAACGCCATCAAACTAATCGATATTGCTTTTTGCCAAATTTTTTTTTCTCTCTCTCTCTTGTGCAGTGATGCAATCAACGCACGCTTAGCAAAACACAGAGGCAGCGTACACAATCTTCAGTTAGATATCATGGATGGCATTGTTCAAGTTGGAAAAATTTGAGACGAAACGAAGCCTCAGTAATTTCACGGGGTGAAAAAATTCACGTGAGGCAGACGTAACATATGTTAACATATACTAATAAACCGATTGAAACATGTAACTAAAGAACATATTGACATTGACAAAAGATACTAAAGATTGGATCTAGTTTATCTTTAAATAACAATATTGACGAAAGGAAGAAGCATCTAAAAGTGATTCGAGATGAGACGATAGATTCGTTTCAAGAATGGCAAACACTTGATATTCATAGTACGATTTTTTTCTCTTTCTTTCCGGTTTTTTTTTTCTGTATTCGATAACAAAGTTATAGATTTTCTGTTTTGTTTGAATTACCGTGTATCATTGTCAAGGTTTTATCTTGGTGCAATCAACCGAGGATCATATGTATACGTAAACAAAACAAAACAAACAATATAATTACAATCCTCACGTTTATATCTCTCTGGTAATTCAACCTGTTCTATTATTCAATGGCTTAGTTCTATAGATATACTTTCTACTTCTTCTTTCACACTCAGGAAACGTTACCTTCCATATTAGTTTATATACACACAAGCATGGACAACAAACACATAAATAAAATCTAAATGAATAAAATATGATTGTATTGTGCAAGAGGCTTAGATCTCTTCTCTCCCATTCGATTTAATAATTTTTTGCGAAATATTGATGTCATTATGTTGTGAATCTAATAGAAGATGATATCAAGCAACAGAAGCAGAAGCAAAAACAGATTAAATGATAAAAACATAATACACACTCTATAAACAAGAAATGTAGTATCCGTTTTTTTGGAATTTCCATATATGAAACCAATTGTGTCACACACACAACACAACACGACACAACACAACACAAACAGAGATAGATTTTATTCAGGTGACGAAATGTACTTGAACAATTGAAGAGAGTACAAAGAAATTATATTAATGATCAGAATATATATATACCTTTACTATTTACTATGAATTCATATTTCAAATTACAAATAACAAATTTCTTCTACAAATTGTTACTAAACAAACAAAAGAACCTTTCAAATTCAAAACCGAAGAAAAAAGAAATAACATTGAACGTGTCTTAGATTAACATGATGAAATACTGAATTACAACTAGATACACTAAATAAGAAGCAGATTGAGAACAATAATAAGAATATTTAATATTTGTTGTAAACGTGCCCTACAAAAACAAAAACAAAAAGATATTGAAAAAAAAACTTTTGCCTTCGTCCAATTAATCAGTGCCCCGATGACCAAAACTCAAACTACAAAGAAAAAAAGAAGCAATTTTTAATTAAATGGTCTTTGTGTCGCAATAAAACGTGGCATTTCATTTGAAACAGTGAAGCATTACATTTAGGGATTGAGTGAGGTAGACAGATTTAAGGCAACCCCACACTAAACAAACTCGACTAAGCTTCAAATACTCTTAGTTTACATTGAATTTATGTTAAAAGAGAATTTAAATTAACAGACAACAACAACAACCAAAAATAATAAGTCAAACAAAACTAAACTCGAGCGGGCTTGAGTTGTGTTTTTTTTTATTTTTAACCGAATCGCACGTAGCATACCAAAGTTATTCCGGCATCTAGATAATGCTTACGAACTGAACAAAAATATACATATATATAGTGTATGTGCAACGCCACACAATAACAATGCCAAGCAACATCTAGATGTCTTGGAACTATTTTTGAAGGAAACTGAAACTTTGTAGCAATTAAGATTTACAAAGCGATAACACAAAGCGAAAGGTGCATTGGCGCTGTCAACAAAATAAAACAACAACAACATAAAAAAAAAACAAAACAAACACTGTAGTGATTATAAATTAGGTGAGCAGGTGGAATTGATAATCAGAAATAAGTTTGCAATAAAATGATATATACGTGCCACGGAAACAGCATTACAAGTAAATGGCAATCATAAAACAAATTAATTACAGGTTAGTGGAAGTCATTCAGCAAATGTACTGCCATTTTTATTTGTTCGTTTTCTCTTCTCTTACTTGCTGTGTGTGTCGAAATCCGTAATCTCGATGATTTGACATGAACATTGCCTGGAGCAACTAGCATTACATTTTATTCGATTTGTTAACACAAACACACACACACAAAACCGCAGGAGGAAATGATAAAAATTATGAATGGATCACACAACAGTACAGCCTATGGCGGTATAATACGTTTATCCAACATGAACTATTTACATAAAAATTAATGACTTTTCGCTGGAATTCTCTTTTCTTTGGCGAAATCCAGGCATTATTATACGATATCCATGCATATATTGTAGCATGTATACACGTTGTATGCCCCATGATAGTTGATCTAGATCAATTAATTTTTACCAATCTTTCTTCTCCGTTTCAAGCACCCATTTCAGTTTAACATACGTTTTTCTTGGGGGGGGGAACTCTTTTTCCCAAATAGAAACTCAAATAGTCATAGATAATGTGCACAGACGTCCTCGTATCAGGAGGACGGTCCTCGTTGTTGATAGCGGTCCTCTAATCGAAATGTCCTCGTTTTTCTTTAAAAATTCATAAAATATGATTAAAAAATCAAGAAAAATGAAATTCAAATTGGATAAAATGATTATTTATCATCATTTATATGTCATTCAATTTATTTCATCCTTAATTTTAGAAAAAATGTTGGAAAAGTCCTCTTTTTTTCGTTTCGAAAAAAAAGGCCTCGGAAAAAATCTGTGCACATTAGTCATAGATCTACAGATCTAGACATGTATGTCTTGATTACGATCTTTCTACCCACTAAGACGTTTTTATTTTGCAACAGAACTATACAGAACCATGTAAATCCCCGAAAGAATAAAGATATTAAACCATTGTGATCCTTTTACTATATTAAAACATTATGATAATGGAAAAACTTGGGATTCTTTTTCCCTTGCATCCTATCCAAAAAAAAAGTTACGATTTTAATTTCGTTCGTTGAATCCCGATTTATTATTTATCATTATTATCATAAAAGATTCACGTGGAAAAAAAGAGAACATACAAATTTATAAATTTCATATTAGTGTTGTGATTTTGAAGTACTTTACAATTTATCTTCATAGCGTTAACAACAACTAACAAACCAAAAAAAGTGTTATTAATATTTACTCAAAGCGTAGAGAAAAAAATCCAAAAAATTATTTTAATGTGAATTGTTCTAGACTTTTAAATCTGAGATTTCAAACTAAATATCTTATTCATTAAATAGAATTATAAAGGAAATATATCGAGAGGTTGACACATTTTTATGATCAAACGAGGAGTTAAAAGTATACAATGCGCTCATCAGATTGAACCAAAACCAAGACAATCTTTTCTCTAAATTACCACGTGAGAATGGAAAAAAGATTTACATGTAAACAAGATCGAAGAGTGTCATTTTACAATCAACAGTTCAATACTCCAACGAGATCGAATCAATCAATAGTTGGTGAAGGAAATAGTTATATATTATCATCGACTATCACTTTGTAGCTCCTAAATATATGAGAACAACAAACAAGCAAAAAAGCAAACGAATTAGTCTGTGGAAGCAAATTTGAAGGAACCCACCAAAATCTCATTTTGATTGGATATTTTTCTCAATTTTCTTTATACTAATATATTGAATTCAAGTAATATATTTCGACCATGTGAATAAATACTGAAGCAAAACACAAATACACACACAAACTCACAATCATATGCAATGTAAATAAAAACAATTTAATTATTTTGGATGTAACCATAATGGTGTTTTGGTGTCGTTTTTCTGCCTCTTCTTCTCTTTGAATTTTCAGTTTTGAGCAAGCCTTCGTTCATACATGAATGCAGAAAACTTTGTCCACATTCAAATGTGAGGCAACATGTGTTCTGCAATATTATTAAACTCGTACGTAAACATTTGCTTGCTATATAGACGAATTCCTGATATCAAAACCAGAATTGAGACAAAAACACAGCACGGTGTGAATAGAATCGACAACGACGACGACGAGGTGGAGGAGGAAGAGAAGGGGGAGGTGGAGGACAACGACAACGACGCATACTATCATAAATAATTTAAAGTGAAATTCTGAGCGAGAGGAAGAGCGAGCGCAACGTAAAAGCATAAACATTGAAAGCACACACTCTGTACATATCGCTATGCATATAGACTGAGATACATATATATTCCACCGAAGAAATTTTATGCAGCAATTGAATCGCACATATATGGCATACACAACAACCCTGCGCAGATGTTGGCATTCGCCAAATACAGCATTTTATCGTCTGGATGCTCTTGCAGTGGTGCTTGAATGTTGCGACACAACACACAGAGTGGAAGCTTTTTCTCTCTCTCTATTTTACAGTGGCAAGAGGAGAGCTTCCATACACACAATATGGCTACAATATACAATATGATATGATTGCATATTTAGTTAGTTGCTGACAAGCCTAGTGTGTAGACCACACACTCTACACAGTGCGTCGTAATCGCCAAAACACAGTGTTCGCAACAGTCGCATTCTCACATATATTCACAGTGTGCCCCCTCAATAAAAGAGAACGAGAGAAACGAGAAAAAAAACACATAAATCTAGAAATCATGTTATTCACTCAATTGTAATAGAACTGTATAGATACTAAGGGTTACATAATGTGTTGTTATTATTACTATTATTTTTATTTTTATTATTTTTTGCATAAAACTTAAACGTAACGCGATGGTAAGTTTTAGTTTGAATCTTATCTTGTCTATTCTCGAATAATTTTTTTTCTGTTGTTTTTTCTGTTCATGTGTCTCTTTCTCTTTCTCTCTCAATTCTATTCAATGCTTCAATCGCAAAAGTGAAGAAAAAAAAACAAAAATAAACGAAAATTATTGGTCCTAGGCACGAAATTACTCATTTTTTTCTGTTTCTTTTTTAGTTTGTCGCTAAATAGGTGAATTGAAACGAATTTTGTGTCTCTTGACTTCTTAATTCTTTACAACAACAGCAAAATAAAGTTCAGTTCATTTCCTTATGTATATTCGAATATTTTATCTAGCCGTATTTCGTATTCGTATTAGAAAAGCTCTTTTTTTCCTCTGTTGCGTTCATTTTTTCCATCTGCCTTTTTTTGTGTGATGAGATCTGCTATGCAGTATTTTCTCTCTCGCTCGCCTCGGCACCATTTCGGTTTTCGTACGTTCCGTTTTTTTTTCTCATTCTCTGCTTTTCATTTACTTACTTGTTTGCTTCTTACTTGTTTGGTAAAATTTGAATGAAGAGAAAATTCGCCTTGAAATAATAACAACAACTAACGATAACATTTTCTGAAAGGATCATCATATAAAGCAAAAACACTTTAGTTTTTTCCATTTTATTCTATAAAAAAAAACACTAAGATGCTTTCCCCCTATATATCAATTGTTAGAGCTTCTTTATCATATAATTGAATTAAAAAAAATGTTAAACAGTAACAGTACAAGGGCTTTGGCTATGATATACCGCATTGAATATATTATCGTTTTTTTTCTCTCTCTCTCCACTTTATCATTAAATTCGAGTAAAATATCCCGAAAAAGAAGTGGACATCGAACAGTAAGATAGAACTATCAGATAGAATCTAATTTGTCTCACACACAAAACACAAAATGAGTAACTGTTTGGTTTTTTTTCTCGTAACTTTAGTCTATTGATAACAACAACAAAAATCTTATAACATAAAAGCTCCCTTTTAGTATAGGCAGTTGGATTCTCTATTTTGTTTTTTTCTCATATATATATATACGTACATAATATACCACAGAATGCTTCTACGCTTGAACTAACAACAACTACTAATTTTAAACCATGCATAATAATCCAATATGTAATGTAATTTTTGACAACAGACATCTGTATCTACATCTATCCGTAACGTAACATAACATAAATAATATTACCTATATATATATAGTGATGGTATTTTACTGCAATGCTAATTAACGTTAATGCTTTTCTTCGTAAGCAATTGATTCTCGTGTATACATTTTTGGTTCATTAGTTTTGAATTAAGTTCTATTGTTTTAGATACTTATACTACTACCACCACTACCATTCAACAACAACAAAAAAAACACTTACACAATATCAAAACGCATCATTCCTTAAGACACTTCTGGACATAAGCAAACAAACAAACAAAAAAAAACATCCATTCACTTTTTTTTCATTGAATTTTTGCTTTGTTCGAACGATTAGATAGTGGATTCAATTACATACCATTCTATCAAGTAACTGAGTGGTTTTTTTCTATACTTTTTTCCTCACTTGTTTTTTCCTTTCTTCCTTTGTTCGCCCATTTTCTCTCTCTTTCTCTTTTTTGTATCTTGTTTCGACTAAAATTGCAAATTGAATTTGATGTGGTTTTCATTTAACATATTTTCAGTTCAAATATATCCGCCTCCCATCCCCTCGTCCGCCTCTCATTCTATCTCTATCTCTTGCTCTTTTATATTTAAATCCTTTTCATTCTCTCTGCTTTCTCTCCTGCATTTGTAACACTCAATCAGTTTTATTCATTAAGCTTAACTCTCTTGCTCTATCTATTTGTCCATTTTAATTAATCAACCTAATGACTTTGCTGAAATCGATCTGATTCATTTTCGCAGTCCAGTGCAATATACCGTCCACACTCATTTACTTACTCACTCACTCACTCACTCCCTTCACACTACACATGCGAGAGAGAGAAGAAGAAGAAGAAGAAGGCAAAAAACGGTGCAGTTGAAAGCGTATCAATTTCAATTTCAATACGGATACACCGCACATCAAAACGCGGTGTGGACGCGCGCGATGCTTTTAGATTGCGACACGAATTCGGCTTTAAATTATTAATCGCTTTCATTTGTTTATTAGTTTGATCTTATATTGCAATCGAATGTATGTTGTTTTTTCATTTTCATTTGTGGCTTTTCTCGACAGCCAAGCCAAGCCAAGCCAAAGCAAAGGTACTGATGGATTATTTACTCAGTAACCAAACTCATACCGTTAAGTACATTTGAATCATACGGTCATAAAATTCACGTTCGTCTCCGACAACAACAAGACTGCTGCAATACGGCGTTCAAACGGCTTTCTGCCTGCATTGAATATTAACAGTCGATTTTCACATCATATTGTTGTGTGTACGTGACAATTTGTGGGTGTTGTAATATACAAATAACAATTTTTCGGCGCGGAGCCTTCGCTTGTTGCTGCTGCTGCTGCTGCTGTTGTTGTCGTCAACGGCACGAAAAGTTTTCATAAAAGCGTAATATAACATTTGTTTCAGCCGTGTATGGCGCGCACAAAAACGTGTGCAAGTGAAAATTTTATGATAAGCAATTTGCAATCGTCATCAGTTTATCATTAATAATATAAAATGTAACAGCTGATGTGTTTTTTTCTCTGGTGCCATTTCGGTGCGGGCTGTAAGTAATTGAAGCCCATTACATCTGCAGCATTTGCTTGCGAAATTCAGCAAATCTCACGATTTTTCCATTCTTCTCGGTCGAGACACAAGAGAGAGACTATCACGATTTATCCGCAGTTTCGGAAAAGAATTTGGGTCAATTGAAAACATTTCTTCGTTTTTCTCCCATTCTTACTCTTTTTTTATTGGAGCCCGCTTTCCATCGTACATCAGCACACAGTCAATACGATTTTCTATTTAACATCTAGTCGCTCACTCTCTCTCTCTTTCTCTCGCTCTCTCGCTCTCTCTCTGCAAGCCAAGACTGAAATATTGCTTTCATTCAGAAACGTTTCGATAATGTCAATCCAAGCACATTGTGTTCCACATGAAGTGAACCGAGACGACGATGGTAAAAATCGACAAAAATCATCATAAACTTTCAATTGTTAGAACAAAAACGTTATCGAATCGAAATGACAAATTGTACCATTGAGATACGTGATCGAGTGCAAAATTAATTTGCTTTTGAAATGCTTTTTTCCACAATCGGAACTAGAACGAAGAGACACGGAAAACGCGATGACCTTCGATATCCCCGATGTCTCCGAACGTTATCTCGAAATTTTCATCTAAAATGGAAAAAAATCTATCTATATATCGACCGTATTCAAACATCCATAGACATATTATGCGTGCTCATTTCTCTCACTGCATTCCATTTCCCTATCAAATCTATGTAAACCATTGAATCGACAAAATAACAAGTAATTCGATTGAATTTGTAAATCATCGTGTGTTGCATTTAGTAAGACTAAAGCATGTGCAGAGCATCATCCATAGTTATATCAGATTAATAAAAATTAACTCTTTGTTTATCTCTTTGTTGTGTGACCTAATACTAGTAGAAGAGCATACCAAGCATAAATTCATACGTGTGTCTTACGACCAAAATCGACGTTTGTTAACACACACACACACAAACAAATAAAACTTTTCTATTTTGTTTTTTCTTTTTATCAAATCAAAATTTTTTGATCTAAATACTCAAATACAAGGAAAACAAAAGAAAAAAAAAATGATTTCCGATAATATCATTTATTTGTTCTTTCTTTCTTTCTTTTTTCCATTTGATTTTTCTTTTCTTCTTCTTTTAAATCAAGAATACGAACTACATCTACTACTCCAACAACATTGTTTCAAGCACACATTTCTACATACACCAACATAAATAAAAAAAGACAATATATAGTTACAATCCAACAACAACCAATACACGAAACTTCGTTCTCGGCTACACAAATAACAAACAAACAAACAAACAAAAAAAACAATATGCCAAAGATGTCTAAATACCACATATACAACTTTTTCCCATCAGTTCCAATACTCGGATTTGGAATATTACTATCTTTTCTTGCAGGTAAATTGCATACACCCGAGATAGAAAGCAAAAAAAAGCGAATAAGGAATTACGCTCATACAATTTTTTTGTTTTCTTTTGAAATCTTTGGTTGTTTTGTTCCCGTTTTGCTAGATAAACTTTCGTTTCACCCCTCGATTCGTTTGTATAACATTCGATTTCAATTCGATTCACATCAAAATTCACTTATTTATGTTTATTGTTATATTTGTTTAAAGCACTTTCGGCTATTATCGTCGTTAATACCAATTCAATTTTAGTATTGAACAAAAAAACGAGAAAATAACACACTCACAATCGAGAGAAAAAAATGCGAAATTACAAACATTTCCACAATCGGATTTGAATAACTGAATATACGTGGCAAAGATACTGCGTTTTTGGAAAGCTTTAAATTATTCATTAATTTGATTTTCATTGCGGAAGTGTAAAATGACTAGAACATAAAAACCAGAATAAAATGTAACGAGAGAAAAAAATAACAACATGTATTGCAAGGGTTAACACGCGTGTATAACTATTTTACAGCAGATGAAAAGTTCGATAGCTAATAATAAAATATAAATATTCTCAGGCCAAAGCATAAATATTTGACAGCATTCAAATGAAGAACATAGAGGCACGAGAAAAAAACGCAAACATGCAGAAGTTATCATTGAAATGAAAACATAGATGAGGATGAGTTTAATTTTGTGAATGTCTGTTTGCGATTTTTTGCATTTTGCATAGTCTGTCTGTCTGCGTATATGGAGTGTATGAAATCGGATGATGCAGGGCAATATATATATATGTTATATATTTTTTTCTCCAAAGAATTACAGATTTTCCGTTTTTTCGAAACGAAATTTTAACACATCCGGTCGTGTGTTGAGTATATCTTTGTGTATGTTTGTATGTATGCGGCACAGAGTGCCACTGAATATAGAATATTCATAGGTGTTTTCATTTGCACAAGCACTTCCACTCACATAAACATCTGGCGTGAAATATTTAACGACAAACGTTTGCCATAAATCTGGTCTGCATGTACACTCTGGCTGATTTTTTCACTCGTCTCTCTTTCTTTCTTTTTCTCTCTTCTCTCTGGTTCTCTGTCTCCCCATGTGTTTGCAGGTTGTGAATCTGGTTCTCATGAAAAACGACTTTTACACGCTTTACTAGACAACTATAACGTTTTAGAACGCCCCGTTGTAAACGAATCGGATCCATTGCAATTGAGCTTTGGACTGACGCTTATGCAGATTATCGATGTTGTAAGTAACGAACAGAACGAAAAAAAATCAAAGTTTTTTTCCCCACCGTATTTCTCTAATACACTCGGTGTTGAAAGTAGCTTTACTACATATATATACATAAAAATCACATTCAGAGCGCTCGCCATTTTAAGTCGTTCGCTTTTTGATTGGCATTCGTATTTCCGTGTTTTCTCTTGTTCATTCTCGTTTCCATTTGGAAATTTAATAAATACATGCTGTCAAGGAGAAACATTAATTACCTATCAATTATTGGCTACAATGGTACGCGCGATGATTACATTTTCATTTCGTTGAATTTCATTTTAGGACGAAAAAAATCAACTTCTCATATCAAATTTATGGCTGAAACTGGTAAATTGACATTTCACTATGTTTACAAAATCAACAGCAATCAAAATGGGATTGCATGAGCAATTGGCAGAGATTCGTTGTAATGAATTTACATTTGATAGGAATGGAACGATATGAATTTACGATGGAACACGAGCGAATACGGTGGTGTGAAAGATCTACGAATCCCGCCACATCGACTCTGGAAGCCAGGTATTTGTTGCGAAAGTTTTTAGAAGAGTTTTTTTAGCAAACATTTCAATCCGTAGAAATGGCTAATAATTTTCTAATTCTGAACGATCAATTGCACACTCATTTGGCCCGTCCAGACGTACTAATGTACAACAGGTAAGCATATCTTTTGGCTAAACGAAATCCCAGTTTTTTTTAAAGTAATTTATAAGTGATTTTTAAACGCAAACACAATCAATTTCATTGTTCCATCGAAACAAATCGAACGCATTTCAATCGAAAGAAAAGTAAATTTGAAGTATTCTTACACTTCTTCTATCGTGTAAACTTTTCCATTGGAAACAATATTTACATCATTTTAATACCATTTGCCGTTCGAACGTTTGGAAAAAAGTGTAACTTTTGCGAACAAACAAACAAACAAATGGAACAAAAAAAAATAAACGGTATCACGTCTTGAATTCAAAACAAGCGCACAGCAAAAACGGTACACACACAGAAAAAAAAAGAACAAACAACAATACACATTATGGAGTGAAAAGAGAGATGAACAGAAATACTCTCATCCCACCTTTCCTGCGGTAAAATGTAAACAGCAATGTTTCGGTGTTACAATTTTTTTCCCTGTACTCGCTCTTTTTTTTCCCTCTCGTTCTCGATTTCGCTCTTTCTTTCTCTATGTTGTGCGCTTTGAATGCTGTCCGGATGAATTGTGCAATGGAAAAGAGGAAAAGTGTTCATTGTGTTTGCTCCTTTTTATGCGCTTCCACAAAGGCAACCGAAAACGCGTCCATTGTATGGAAATATGGTCTTTATTGCGGCGAATAAAATTATATTGGTTGAAAAGAGTCAGAAATCTACCGTATTCTTTACGAAGTACATGTTGCGTTCTGAATATGTGTGTGTGTTTTTCCATTCATATTCATAATTCAGCGTTCAGATAATTTTGCGTTAGCAATGCGCGAGCTGCCTGCCTCAGTAAATGCAAAGAACAAAGATAAATGCGACATTTACGTGACCTCTCGTTGTTTTCACTTTCATACACATACCTACATTCACTCACTCACTGTCCATTGTATTTATTTCGAAACATTTTTTCCCCGTCAGTTGAGATACAGTTTTTTCGCCAATTTTTTTTATGTTTGTTTGTTTGTTTTCAAGTACGGTGGAAACGGAGAGATAAAGCTTTTCAGTTTGATCATAATATTTAACTTGAATATATTTTACAGGACTTAAGGAAAACATTTTTCCTTCGTCTCCTTCTTCATTATCTTTCGTTCCATCTGAGGTTTCTGATGGATTTTACTGTAAACCTATTGTCTAGTCATTTTTTAATTTTTCCATTTTGTTTTCGTTTTTTGCGTGAGCTGTATCATTAGATTATTAGTTTAAAGCCAGGTCTGGCATTTCTTTTTTGTTCGCAAGCACAATAAAAGTAGAAAGCGATTCACGTTAATACGCTTAATGTTTCTATGAGTTGGAAAGTATTATGTTGAGCGATGACAAATGTTTATGTTGTGCATTGTGTATTATGGCAGTTGCAGCAACAGCAACAGCAACGGCATCATCTGGTACATTTGAACTTCATTCATTTTAAATTTTGGTTTAATATTACGAAGCTGGTTCTCCACCAGTTTTTGGTTGTTGGCTGTTTCCGTTTCGTTGTGATACGATCAGATTTCGTTCAATTGTGTTCTGTTGGTGAGTGCTCTGATTATGATTTACAAAGGCATAGACAAGTGTTTTTCTGTATGTCATCATCCTCGGCCCGAATTTTAATTTCAAAAGCAGTTAATTTGAAAGTGATATTACCGAAAATGCCACTATTTTCATTCCGGCGGCTTGTCGCTATGTTGACTGAAAAGTGTAAACAGAGAGACTCTCTCTCTCTCTCTCTCTCTCTCTCTCTCTCGTTTCAACTAATCAACGACCGCATATTTTGGGTTTTTCGAAGCATGCTAAGCCATGTCTCCGCACCCCGAAACTCGTAAAAGTTGCTGCGAATGCAACGATGTTCGCACTCCAGTCATACAATAATGCAAATTTTCAGCGCTTTTATGTAATTACGATAACGTTTGCAATTAGATTACTTGTTTATTCAATAAATATTTTGGTTTTGCATGTAATAATAGCGCTGACGAGGGATTTGATGGCACTTATCCCACGAACGTAGTGGTGCGCAATAATGGATCCGTCGTTTACATTCCGCCGGGAATATTCAAATCCACTTGCAAAATTGATATAACATGGTTTCCGTTTGATGATCAGCGATGCGAAATGAAATTCGGTTCATGGACATACGGTATGTCGTGTAGCAGTGTGCATATCACTCAATTCGCGTTTTAACATTCGGTTTTTTTTTCTGTTCAATTTTCAGACGGATTTCAGGTACGGTACATAGACGATGCATGCACCTTGTATAACGGGAGATATCGTCGACGACGACGACGACGACACTATTAGTATCGATGATACCGATTCACTATTAGTATATATTGAGCTAACGACCGATATCGTATATTTTGATTACGCTTCATTTAGCTGGACTTACAATTGCAAGACGAGTCTGGAGGCGATATCAGTAGCTTTGTTACAAACGGAGAATGGGAATTGCTTGGCGTTCCAGGAAAACGAAACGAAATCTACTACAATTGCTGCCCCGAACCGTATATCGATATCACGTTCGCCATAATTATTCGTCGCAAAACCTTATACTATTTCTTCAACTTGATAGTGCCTTGTGTTCTGATCGCATCAATGGCTTTATTAGGTAAATGAACGCCGCATAAAATAACTTTTTAAGATTTACATTTCTTTCTACTAACTTTTGAATTTGCATAGGTTTTACACTGCCTCCTGATAGCGGGGAAAAACTTTCACTAGGTATAAATAGAATCACTTCGAGTACACTTTTAATATATTCCATATTTATGTGTTGAATTTGCATTTTGATTCGCGGTTTAAAGGTGTTACAATTCTGTTATCATTGACTGTCTTCCTCAATATGGTCGCAGGTATGATTAAGATTAGTCGTCTGTAATAATATTGGCGTAAATGCAGATTTTCTGACTGAATCAATTGAATATTTTCTTCATATTTCAATTTCATTTGCCTCGATTCGGTTGCTCTGCCCAACGATAGAAACTATGCCTGCAACTTCCGATGTAAGTTTTTTCAACAATTGATTAACCCATGTTAGCACTCAAATTTGACTAAACCAAAATAAATCCTCTCGTATTAAAATGAATTTATGTAAAGCAAAATTCCTAATATCAACAATTCAACTCTTGTCTATTTTTCCACTCATGCAATCTCTCGATTCGACTAGGCTGTGCCGCTACTGGGTAAGTACAAATTCGTGCCAAGAAAATATGTACAAGATATGTAATGACATGGAAACATATTTGTAACCAAAAGAACGATAACAAAAAAAATAACCACCAATACCACAACAACAACACGCGATAAATGATCCCCCATATTTGAAAGTTAAATGACAAAAATGTGCAGGCGAAGCGTTGAAAATCCCCACCCCCCCATTCGTATTCATCCACCGACTTAGATTAATTACCCTCATTTAAATTAGTTGTGCCAAAACTGAGTGTGTACAATACAACGAACATATACATATATTTTGAGACGAAGCGTATCTATGCGCCGCCACCACCCCCAAAAATGATGTGTGTGTGTGCACGCGTAGCTCGCTCGCTCTATCACTTTGAACAATTTTGTGTGACGTTTATTTTTCAAACCATATCGGTGATGGCAAGCTCAAAATAAAAATACAACTGACTCTTTAGTTGTTCATTCGATACCCAATGGGAATGGGGCTAATGCTAAGTTTTTTTTAAATAGAAAATCCACCGAAAGCGAGATTTGAATGAAAATTCAAACGCGGTGATTTCTATTTGAAAAAAGGACTATAAACATTTTCGCATTTTAACCGAAAATCGATAGAAATAAAAACGTTCCGTTTCATTACAAATAAAACCGTCGAAATTTGTATTATAGGCCACAGCATTAGCCAAATTCTTATTTTTGTTTACTACACCCAACATAATAAAATGCTTCAAATGTAAAGCGAATAAATTCATATTATCTATCGTGTTCGAGAAGAGTAACATCTGATCGATTTTTATCCGAATCCTATCCTGACATTGTGTCGTTACGAACATTATCAAAATGAAATGTTTGACCAGGATACTTCGTTTGTGTGGAACCAACCTGAACAAAACACAAAACAAAAAAACAATGCAAAACCGTCTTACAGAGAAAAAGAAAGAAAGAAAAAACAATGAAAGTTCAATTCAAATGAAAACAATGCATTATATTTCAATTGCATCGTATGTTCTTTGAGTCGTTATTTTGAATGGGAATGGGGCTCATGTGCTATTTTTCAAAAAAGAACTCACCGAAAACGATTGAATTGAAAAATTCAAACGCGATGTTTTAGCACTGCATGAAATGTAGGCTACTATAGTTGTTTTTTTTCCTACGAAAATTTTAAGAGTATTTAGGCCATTTTTTGGACCGTAAATTAATTCATATATTTTATTTGAAATTAAGCAATTACGCCTTATTGCAAGAATGAAATGAAATCATGTACATGTAATTTGAGATAACTCAAAAAAAAAAATTTACACTTTTTTCGTTAACAATGTGAAATAATGTACAATAACCGTTCACATTGAATGTACATAAAATACATAAGTGAAGAATACAATATCATCATATAAATTTATTTAATTATTTTTGACAATATTAAAATGATTTGCATACAAAAGTATACTACGATTAAAACTACATTCCATGTAGTGCTTACGATAATAATTTGATGAGAAACATCAAAATAATTAAACCCCTTAAGCTTCAAGAACGCAGAGCGGAGCGAAGCGACGATCTGCGCTCTAGTTTTTTTTTATTTCAAAGAGGTCTACGAACATGTTCGCTTTTAATAGAAAATCAATCTCAGTAATTAAAAAAGTGTGTTATTGGCCACAGCATGAGCCAAAGTTCTTATTCATTTACACAACCCAAAATAACATAAAATGCCACAGAAAAAGAAGTAACCAAAAGGACGAAAGTTTTACGTATCGTTTTCCTACAAAAAACGATGAAAGTTCAATCCAAATAATTTTAGAAATATATCCCGTGTGGAAATTTTTTGACTGAGTACCCAGATGATTGATTTCGGATGGTTACTCTTCAGTTAAAGTGTCCGGAAGAATAGCTAAGCGTGATGGTTTTTATTCAAAATATTTGAATTCAATCAACTTAGCCAGTCTGAAGTTACATATAACTGTAAGACTGTTAGTCATTTCATTTCCACACGGAAAATCAATTACAAAATGATTAATTACATCGTTTTACTTTGCATCTTAACAGGAACTTATTTCAATTGCATAAGTGAGTCGAGGCCCTATTTTAGCCCTATTTCAACCCAAAAGAAAAAAATCGTTCCATTTTACGTCATTTTATAGCATCATTTGTTTATTCAAACTTTGACATTCTCCTCATAAAAACGGCTTCGACATGATGATGATTTTGGAATGTTTTCAAAAACTATGGTCAGTTTAAGCGTAAATCATTAATTTATACATCACTTTCAACTCTTATCTCGTTGAGATACAATAATTTCGAATGAATTTTCCTAAAAGACCGCCAAACTATTCACACTAACAGGGTTTGAACATTTTTCGAAAAACAGTAAAATTACGATTTTTTTTCTATACAATTTTTTTTTTGGATGGATACAAAAACTCGAGAATATAGAGATTCGTAGCCAGATTCGTAGGCTTTGGTGCTACCAGCTACATCTACATGAATAGAAAATATTCCAAAATCATTCCGTAGCCATGACACTTTTGGCTGTTTTAAAATGTGGAAAATGTCAAAGTTTGATTGAAGAATTTCAAATTAAATTTTGTCTTTATTTTTTTTTTACATGTGTCATTGTATGATCATTGATCTGTATTGATAAATCTCCCGATGTTCTGCTGTTTTAAACATTTGTGCAGTGGTACAGTATTCAACCAATTATTCAGCCGCTCGTTTTATTTTTGAGATACAAATATTGACTTTTAATGCATTTCTAGTTTATGGTCGCGTCGTCAGTCGTTAGTACCATTTTAATTTTGAATTACCACCACCGAAGCGCTGACACACATGAAATGTCAGACTGGGTAAATAACATTCAAAATCTAACAAAAAAAAAACACACTTACAACTACTCTTTTGGTTTGATTTATAAGCAAATAATAAGCTAAACTGCAAAAGTTTACACAATTTCTTCTTTTTTAATTAAATTAATTAATATTTCGATTGTATATTGTTCTCACTCACTTAACAAAACAAAAAAACCGTTGCAAAATATCTAGACAATTAACACACTTATACACACAATCTAACTTAACCCACTCTCACTTAAAACCTTAGCCACAGTACATAGAGTATTTTATATACTTGAAGTTGAGTTTGTATTTTTTTTTCATCTATCCGTTGTTTTGCATAAATAAATATATAACTACACAATTTATCACATTTTGAAAAGAATGTTTAAACGCATTGATATGCATACTTCTACATACACACAGCATAAGAATTTCAGTAAACACTATAAATTGCATCCGCGCATACTAATATCTCTATCTATTCACATATATTATTATATATATATATATATATCTTAGGGTGTTTTTTTTTCGGACTTTTTCGAATTTCACATGCGGCAGTATTTTTTCAGGCGAGGTTGGTCATAAAAATAAGCCCTGTAAATTTTTAGCCCGATCGGACAACGTTTACCCGTGCCTCATCGGCCTCAAAGTTTGGAGCTTGGGCCCAAGGGAAATCCACAAAATCATGCATCTGAAAACCCCACTTCCGGTAAACCGATCATCATGAAACTTTCAGAATCTTATTTATTCACCAAACAATGGAATCTCTGAATGGGAACTGGCGATTGAATGTGAAGAGTGAAGTGAAGGTTCAAGGAAATTTCGTCCAAATATGGGGACCAAAAATCACACTTGTGCTTGTGCGATCGTCATGAAACTTACAGGATCATAGTTTTTTACTAAAATTTGAAATCTCAGAAAGTTTGAAGCCAATCGGATGAGATTCAAGGGTAGCTCCCATACAAAAATTGCCTTTTTTGGCCGATTTTATGATGGAAATACGATCATTTGTATGGGAGCTACCTCTATTTATGCTCCGATCCGCCTGAAACTTTCAGAGATTCCATTGTTTGGTGAATAAATAAGATTCTGAAAGTTTCATGATGATCGGTTCACCGGAAGTGGGGTTTTCAGATGCATGATTTTGTGGATTTCCCTTGGGCCCAAGCTCCAAACTTTGAGGCCGATGAGGCACGGGTAAACGTTATCCGATCGGGCTAAAAATTTACAGGGTTTATTTTTATGACCAACCTCGCCTGAAAAAATACTGCCGCATGTGAAATTCGAAAAAGTCCGGAAAAAAAACCACCCTAATATATCTCTATCTAACTTATGTATTTTGGTTGACATTTTCCCATCTGTGCATATTATAACCCGTATTAAATATCTTCTCTTGTATCTACCGTTGCTACAACTATTTTTTGGCAGTATTTTGTGTTTGTTTGTGTTCTTGGATCTTCTTTTGGTCTTTCGGTGCAAATACATATATTTTTTTTTTCGTTTTATTTTGATTTATTTATTACGTAGTGAGAGCGTAAAGTTTTAGCAAAAGCAGATGTAGCACGCATCGTACACACATATGAAATTTGTATACCCGTTGCAACGATGGATGGTTTTCGAGTAAAATGTACATGTGCACATTTTAAAACGTTTAACCCAAATAAAGTTCTCTTTTTCACATTCTCTCGCTCTCGCTCACTTGGCATTATGAAAGAATCCAGAGTCGAGCTGTGTCTGAAAATATGGTTTAGTGGTGAAATTATTATTGTAATATCATTTTTACACCACCAGCAACAGCAGCCGATGCTCTATTATTGAATTTCTCTCACTCTCTTTTGCGTGCATGCGCGCTCGCTCGCTCGCAACCGACAATCTGACCGAAGCACATACACAAACTGAAACTGAAACTGAATTTCTCTATTGTACAGACACTCGTTGTTCATTTTCCAGTTGAAACTCATTGAAATGCCGCACATAAGGGTCGGTTGTTTGGGCAAATGTTGCAACTTGCCATTCCGGATTTGGATTTGGATTTTGGATTACAATACATGATTAATGATTTCCAATAAGAAAAATCGAACTTTTTTTACGCTTTTGCTTTTTCGCTCGCTCGCTCGCTTTCAAATGCAAGCACAAAAAGTGATTGAATCTTAGTGGCCATGTTTCTGGCACATAAATACCATGCGTTTGATTTTATGCCATTGGCACAACAATTCATTTCGAATCGAACGAATCCAATGAAATATTGTGTAAATAGTGAGATTTCGAAGTGATCCAAAGAATTCAATTCACTCTCGTCACCCCCTCCCCTCGATATACAAAATAACAATAACGACAAACCATTTATCCCCCGATAGCGCACTCAACCCATTTGCCCAAATCCTCGAAAATACTTTATTGCATTCTTATTAGATAGATATATACGAAAATGTATGTGCACTTACGAAGTCGTCGTAATTTTGAGTATGCATCCCTGATTTGCGTGAAGAATTTAGGACATTCCAAATTACCACTCACATACTTGCATACTCGCATACATGCAAATGCAATTGACGTACATAGAGATGCATCATAATGTCCTCTTAGGCAGTTATTTTCTCGCATTAAAAGAAAAAAAAGGAGTGACATGTTATGTTTTTAAGCCGATGCAGGCGCCATTAAAAAGCACACATATAATACCTTTATGAACAAGAGACTACGGCTCTCACACACTGCATGAATTTAGTTGCATTTGATAAATTACTTTGGCTATTTTGAGTAGCAGTACAAATAGTGTGAAATATTTTACTTCGCAAGTTGGTCGAAAATAAAGAAAAATCCGCGATTGTATGGGAAACAAGTTTCTGGTAAATTTTACAACATTCATTGGCCATGTGTGTTTGGCTGTTTCGGTCAAATTTACCAAAAACCTTGTACCAGATCATTGTTCCAGTTTTGTATTTGAACACATAGCAAAGAGTTCCATTTGCGTGGTATTGATTGAACGCAAACGCTCCTATTTTTTTCTGTTACGTTGTTTGAACGTCGTTCTATCGCAAATACTGTCGTAATATTTTATTTTTGAAATAAACATTCTAATGCTTAGATTGGTTGCATAAAAAAAAGACAACAACAACAACAAACACTACCAAAATGACCGCTCGTATAGATTTCAAACCTATCGCTTTAAAACCTTTTAGCCGCTGTTTTTATTTCGTTTCATAGCAGTAATGACGAATCATTGAAATCGAATAACGATGTAAAAACCGTTATCTCTTAGTATTGCTCAATAGCTTCCATAATAAATGTATCCTAATTTTTGTTTGAAACGCTTATAATATCCCTCTGTACCGTTCTTTATTTCCTCCCAAAAAAAACCCACAATAACCACAACGATAACGTACGAATACGAATTACGAAAAATGAAAGCCTGCCAATATTTTTCATTGTGTTCATTTGTTGAAACAATGGACGCGAATCAACGATCGTCGAATGGGATATCAATTGTTTCAATTTTTGTCATTGGACTGTTGAAATCAAGTCTCTCACTCTCTCACTCAACTCCATTTTTGGTTTCAACAACAATTTTCCCAATTTATTAATGAATTAGTTCTCTTTGATTAACATAGTTTTACAGTCAATTCTCAGCTGTGTGAGTTCCTTGAAGCGATACGACCTTGCAAGAAATTTTGCAATCTATATAATTAAAGCGGCCGCAGAGAAGTGTTTCCGTACAAAAACAATAGAACAACAATCAATTTTTTAGCACATTTTAGTTCAAATGAAGCATTAAACTCTCTCTCTCTCTCTCTTTCTCTTTCTCTTCATTGAAGGGTTATTTATCATAAGATTATCCGATTCGTTTTCGCTTTCGTTTTCGTAATAATTTTTCTATTTTATTTTTCCTTCGTTTGTTCCAATTTTTATTACTTTCGAAATGAACAAAAAAAACCATTAATTTTCAGCAATTCATTTATATTTAAAGTAAAAAGTAATGTTATTTAATTATTTTCTTTGAACCAATTTTTGATTAACAGAAAAAAAACATATGTAACATTTGGTTTCTCTTCTTACAAAGTTGCAGTTGAATTTGAGTCATGCACGCTAATTGATAATAATATATATTTTAGTAATCGAAAAACAAGAGCTTAGATTCGCTAATAATTCACACCGATACAGCCTATTTAATCACAACACAACGTACTCACTTTTGGGTACATTTACCCTGTGTGTTTGTATTATCGTCAGGTACGAGTGGTGTTTTTATATTGGCTTCCATGTATTTTACGGATGAGTCGGCCAACACCCGATGACGAGGAAGAAAAACTCGATAAAAAGGCTCAACAACTCCAGAGTGTGGAACTGAAAGAACGGTAAATGTGTTAAAAATCGCGACATCGCGATTCGTATTCATGGTCATATACATCCATTGATTATGAATAAAAGCCTTCTTATTCCTATTATTGCCATTTGTTTGAGTTGTTTCATTGTCCACTTTGTTTTTAACGAAGAAAGTGTGTTCTTTTGAACTTCATTCAAATCTAGTAGCCGATCAAATTAATGACTTTCAAATTCGAATTTCAGTTCATCGAAATCATTACTTGCCAATGTGTTGGATATCGATGACGATTTTCGATGCAATCACAGCTGCCCAACATTTCTACAACAACCAACGTACTATCGAACTGTTTACAGGTATGAGAAAAGTTATTTTGTCGTCATCATTTGATGGTCTATGCCATTACTTTTGTTTCCGATTTATGCAGGGGTGAAGCGGAGGAAAGTATTGGAACAATTGCCGACACGCGAATCAATCAATCATATCCGCAATCATGTTTTGGCTCTTCCGAATACGAGTTGGCATTGATTCTTAAAGAATTGCGTTGGATAACCGATCAGGTTAGTTGTAATTTATCTATTGACCGGCAATTTTGTGCCAATTTGTCATTCAATTGAAATATTTTTAACCGATATTTACTCCATAACTATTGACATTTTTCATGATTGTTCAATTTTTCCGTAAATTTAGCTGAAACAAGAGGATGCAGACAATGAAATATCTCGTGATTGGAAATTTGCCGCAATGGTTGTTGATAGACTATGTCTCATAATTTTTACTTTATTCACGCTACTCGCCACATTGTTTGTACTCTTCTCAGCCCCGAATTTCCTCCTTTAAACAATTGCAATTGTTAACAAACTCACACGATACATACACACACTAAAAAATAAATGTGAAACGCACGAATTCGAAAGCAACCGAAATAAGAACAAAACCATACATTGATACTATAAACTATAAACTTAACAGGAAAATAAAAGAAACATAAAATACGAAAACCACATGCAAATGAATGAAAAAAAACAAACAAACCTATATACACTGTATACACCCACTCACACACAAACACACACGAAACACACCAACAAATTATTGCTATTAAATGAATAATCACGGAATCTGCTTTGTAAACATATAAAAAAAACAGTCGCGTGTTCATCTATTTGAATACCGAAAGTAGCCTAAGATAAGCTATTAAACTTGAAACGAGACTTGCTACATTGATGAATTTAGCAACTCAGCATTGTTTGACTATTATTACTAAACAGTTATTAAATAGTTGATAGAAGTGAACTTAAAATTTGAAGAAGAAGAAAAAAGCAACCGAAGCTAGACGGAAAAGGGAAAATAATCGAATTTTGTAATGAACATGTTGACGCGTTTAAACTTAAACTGCATTTTTTTAAAGAAAAAAAAACAACAACAGCAACTGCAAAAAAAATGATACATTAACATTATTTATTGATATAGTTAGCAGCAATCAAAGGAATTCTTCCACACTTGTATTTTTGCCTTCAAAATCCAACTGCAATTTTTCTAATTCATATTTATTGACATTTCACTGCATTTAGATGGTAAACAACAATAACAACAACAACAAAAAATATTGACACTATGTTGTACAACACAGGAAAAAAAACACACGTAAATTGTTTCACCATTTTGAACAAATGGGATTTGAATTCATTTTAATTTTTTTTAAATTTTGTGACTAGTTTGACGAGAGAAAAATAAGAAGTGGTTTAGAAGTATTATTATTATTATTATTACATTCGCGGTAGGTCGAAACAGTTAGTATATGCATAAACAATACAATCAATCAATCAATTAACCCCATTAGAAAAATATTCAATTTTTTTAAAAAAACATGACAAAAGTTATTGATTTTACACTTCTATAGAAATTGTATTTATACACGTTACCAGTGACAAGTTAATAAAAAATGATATAACATTCAATGGACGCGTTCTTTTTTCTCCATTCATTAATTTGGAGTAATTGCTTCAGAGCCATGGGCCACAAAATTGTACACTGCACAGTCGAAGGTAAGATGTAATAAAAAGTATTGCATTCTGGCCGAACGAAACTATTTCTCCTATACTAGCGTTAAAAACGTTGGTTGAAAATGAACCGAAATATTTGGTTCATTTAATGTTGTACCGGTGATTGTCCTATATTGATGCAATTACTTGTAATTTAAATCCAGAGAACCAAATTGAATTATGTCATTAGTAAGTATGCCAAGTACTTTATGGGTCAGTTGTAGCTTTTTCAATTGAAACGCCACAATTTCATTGATACTCATTTATTTTAAACATAATTATAACGTTATTACAAATATTGAATGTTTCCCACCGCTCTATGTAAATGTCAAATAAAATGAATGAACATTACTCCTCTATATACCAGGCAAGGAAGGGTATAAGTCTTTAAAGTTGGTTATTTGATTCACAAAAATTGTTTTGATCGTACGAAAAAAGTGAACTGAGACCGTTTAGTCATAGTGAACAGCATTTTTATGATTAACGCGATGAATTTTTGGTTTCTTGAGTTTCTTTTCACGAAGTTTTGTCATATGTTTCATGACAAAATAAAGCCCAGGCAGAAGTACGAGTCCCATGTAGAATTTCATGAAAGACACCATATTGAATGTGAAATTCCATTTATTGGGCATTTCAACTGAAAATCGTTTAGTCTCTTCGAAAAATGGTAGGCTTCGCAGCATAATCGTCCCTTCACACAAAACGCCTAACGGGTAGAGAACAATCCAAATGGAGTATCGAAGCCATGTAAGACAAGGGATATCCTTTTTTACTAGTGCAATAATATAGTATGGATATCGGATTATTTCAACTAAAGACCACACCATAAACAATACAAACACGACGGGCATCTCTTGAATACGAATTTCCGCATGGATTATGGCGAATAGCACAAAATTGCGTCCTGTCACTTGGAGAAATGGAAATAAGGCAGATCCTTTTGTATAACCGACCAGTGCGTGTAAGAATTCAAAATACTGTAATGCTTGACTGTATCGCATGGCCACGCCAACGGTTCGGTAGGTAATCTTTGAAACGTCACTAAATCCATCGCGGCTTAATGTTATTGACAACACCAATACAATGTAGAAATATGCGATAAACTGATACAAATTATACATAATCAAGTACACCGTTACTCGGCCAGCTGAAATAAGTGGAAATAGAATCGATTTTGGTGGGTGGTCTAATTTGGTTAAGGTTGTGAATCCAAAAACGAACCTTTTCGATAGCCCAATTCTTCTTGGTGTACCACATCTTCAATGCCCGGGTAATCAACTCGAATATCACGATATTCGGCCTCATCATTTGGTTGATTTCTTGATATCCATGTCTCTTTATGAATCTGAAAGGAAATAAATTCACAATTTTATTATCGACTATCGACTTATTGGTTCATTGACTCAATGGCATTACAACGACTTACATGAATCCAGTTTTGTTTTTGTGGCTGGGCCGTGAGACGTGACCACCAAATTTTTGGATTTTCCTTCTTCAAAAGGAACGTCAATTGCGAGTCCGCATTTGAAATATTGTCCATTGACAGCTGAAAAGATGTTTTGAGATTAGCCCATGCAATGTTTTGTTTTCTTTTTCATCGTCGTTTACCTCTACATTTATCGATTCGAAAAGGTTGATTTCGAAATAGTATTCGTGTGGTCCGTTGTCGGCTGCGCCAAAGCCATACGCTTCCAACGATAGGAATTTTTCCTTTAGTTTGATATTCGGTTTCTGCAGAGAGAGCCGCATTTAATTCATATGTCAAACAAAACAAAACACGCTCGAACATACCATATCATCTAACAGTAAATCAACAACCAATTTTATATCGTTATCGGTCTGAGACCAATACACTTGTGGGCACTTACGACGCACAACCATTTTTAATAACACCAATTTTTTGCGACGTGATTTTTTAAAATATTCAAATAATATTCAGAGTCTGAATTTCAGACTATTGCTGTTGTTTTTTTCTCTTTACCTATATCGACTTTTGTTATGCTCTCACTTGCCGCTGATTTGAACTGAAAATGCCGACTTTTGCACGTCACAATGACAACAATTTCTCTCTTTGTGCTATACTATACACACGGTCTATACATAAAATGCGCATGTATTGTCGTTGTTTACTATTTTCTTTTGTACATAAATATTTGAAATTTCACCAAGACTTTTCCTTATTTGGACGATCATTGGAATACACGTTTTTTTACTTTTATGGCAAAATCACTTAGTTGTAAATATAAATATGTCTTTACTTCATATCGAATGCAATTATGTGAATTGATTTTGTAAACGTTTTTTTATGCACATTTCATTTGTTTTGAAACCACAACAACTCACAATTTTTAGACAAAAAGTATTTACCGCAGTTGACAGATGAAATCGTGCAACACCAAAGCTACAATCATCATCAATTGGGTGGAAATTGGCGCGAAAAAGTGACTTATTGTGTACGACAGCATTCGATAAAAGGAAACAAAGAACGAGCATTACAAAGAACAAGATAGAATTAGATAAAGAAAAGCAGAAAAGGAAGAAAAATGTGCGAGGAACAAAAGGAAAACGTGCCAACCAATGGAAATGTCTCGTTTGATCACGATGAATATCAGTATTTGAAGTTAATCAAAAATATCATTGAAACCGGTGAGTACAATCAAATTGACAGTTTGATGTGTTGATAGCGAATAAAAGTCTTTTATCTTTGTCATGCAGGAAAGAAGCGTTCAGATCGCACCGGCGTTGGTACCGTATCAATTTTTGGTGCCCAAATGCGATTCAATCTACGCAATGATGTTTTCCCATTACTGACGACGAAGCGTGTGTTTTGGCGTGCCGTAGCCGAAGAATTGTTGTGGTTTATCAAAGGTAGCACCAATGCAAAGGAGCTGCAAGACAAGAATATTCACATCTGGGATGGTAACAGCACCCGTGAATTTTTGGACAAAATGGGTTTCGTGGATCGTGAAGAAGGCGATTTAGGTCCAGTGTATGGATTTCAGTGGCGTCATTTCGGTGCTGAATACAAAACATGCCACGATGATTACACGGGCAAAGGAATCGATCAGCTGAATGAAGTTATCGAGCGTATAAAAACAAATCCATATGATCGCCGCATCATCATGTCTGCTTGGAATGTGGTTGATCTGCCAAAAATGGCACTCCCACCATGCCATTGCTTTGTTCAATTCTATGTGTCCGACGGTGAATTGTCGTGTCAATTGTATCAACGCTCGGCTGATATGGGTCTCGGTGTTCCATTCAATATTGCCAGCTATGCACTACTCACGTGCATGATTGCTCATGTCACTGGATTGAAACCAGGCGATTTTGTTCACACTCTCGGCGATGCCCACGTCTATTTGAATCACATCGATCCACTGAAGCAACAGGTAACAACAAAACTTATGACAAGAATTACCAGTTGATTGGTATGCAGAATTAATACATTTGATGTTTTGTTTGCAGATAATCCGTACACCAAAGTCATTCCCATCGCTTCGCATCAAACGTACCGTTGATCGCATCGAAGACTTCACGTTCGACGACTTTGAAATCGTTGGCTACGAACCACATCCAACAATCAAAATGGAAATGGCCGTTTAACAAATCTTTTCTTTTTAAATGAAAAATCTCTCTTTCACTTTCTTCAAAAGAAAAAAAAAGGTCTTTTACGATAAGCGTTTATTACGAATTTATTTCAATTTTAACGAATATATACCGAATACGCAGTATTTTCTTACAAGTTGTCATACTTATTTCAAGTTTAATAAAGTCTTATTTAAAATGAAGAACAGAAAAAAATGATGGCGGAATAATCATAATTACTTCGGTCCTCGTCGTGGTGTTTTGCCACCGGTTTTGGCTTTCTTGCCGGCTGGTTCCTTTTTGTTGGCATCTGATTTGCGCTTGTTGTTGGTTGGTGTGGATGGTAGAACCTTGAAGAAACTGTCCAAACGTCCTTGTGTCGATGTCGTTCGAGTCTTTTGAATCTTCTTGCAGCCAGCGCGAATACGATCTTCGTTGAATTGTCGATCACCGCACAAGTATTTCACCAAACCTTCCTCATCCGGATCCGTCCACTTGATCTAAAAGTGAGAATAAATCAATTTTTCAACGAAAATGACGTTTAGCGAGTGAAACAATATGATTCGAAATGAATACAATTTGATGAATGCTCAGAAACAAACAATTATAAAGGCAAAACAGTAGTACGTACATCAATAGTGTTTGGATCAGCGACATCTGGGGTGTGAAATAGCTCACGAGCCTGTTCATAGTTCCAATCTTCCGGAACAATGTACTTGCTTTTGTCGATGTTCTTCAGGATTTCTTCAATGCATTTGTGCTGTGAAACCAATTCGATGGCGCGTTTCGGCCCAATGCCTCGAATCGATTCACAGTAATCACACCCGAGCAAAATACACAAATCGACGAACTGAAAATGTTAGAAATGTTCTCCACACTTTAATTTGGCATTCGATGCAAACAATTCATTAAAATATGTTCAACTATTCACCTGTTCCTTCGTAAACTCGAGTTCCTGGAGAATTTTGTCGTAGAAAAATTCTTGGACCGGCATTTTACGTGCTTCGCTGAAAGTCAAATGGCGCAGCAGAATGTTTGTACCAAATGTCAGTGCGTCCATATCTTCGGTTGCTGTGGCATAAACCTTTCCCGCTTTCGCCAGTGCAGCACATTGAGCTTCCGCTTCACACGGCGCATCAACGTATGGTACGCCCATCAAGGTGAGCAGCTCTTTGGCTTCGGCATTGTGCTGTTTTGTCACACGAACCAAACGCCGATTGAACTTGTCCATTTCGGCTGCATCGCCTGCTTCGGTGGCCTTTTCCAATGCTTTTTGCGCCTCTTCACGTTTCTCGGTACGTTTTGCCAATTCGCCGGACTTCATTTCGGGTGGCTTGCCATCAAACACATACACGGGCTTGATGCCATTTTCTAACATTCGGATCGTCCGATAAAATGTGCCCATCAAATGTGATGTGGTTTCACCATCGATCGACGTCAATTGTGCCCCTTCGGCTCGAACAGCAATCAGAAATTGATACAAGCACATACTAGCATCGAGAGCAATCTTTCGACCTGCAACAACATGTTCCAAGCCAAACCAAACAAAAACATTGATTGTTATTGTAATTTCGATATGTTGTGAAATTCAAACTGTACTCACCGAAATAGTTTTTGATTTCATTCTCTTTGATTGCCGATGGTGCAACATCCGCAATCAACTGTGATAAGCCCTTAATTCCCATGGCGGTGATCTACAATCGAAACAAACGACAAAACAAAAACGAAAAATTGTCGAAATCACAAACTGAAAATATAATTTCTTTGCTGAAAACCAATAAACGATACTCTTTGTTGTGCCTGTTCGTGTGTGTCTTGTATATTGAATGCCGCCAAATTTGACAGTACGACGCAAATGGTTGTTTTTAACTGTTCGTAGCGCCACCAACCAGTGTGTAAGCGAAACACAATCTGACAGTATGATTGTCTGATTCTGAAGTTGTTCCACAACTTGACACGTTTATAAATGAAAGTTGATGATTTAATTTCCAGACTGTGATTCAATCAGACACATAGTTCAAGCAGATTTTTAAAGAAGAAACATAGAAAATAAATAAATAGGTAAGCTCCAAGCATATACAGTGGTTGGAAATATTGAAATAGTTCGCCAAAAAAACATGAATAAATTTAATTGGCCACAATTGATGATATTTGCGTTGCTTTTTTAGTTCCCTTCCAAAATGGCATCAATTGAAGATCTTCAGTCTCAAGTAAAGGAATTGAAAAATGAGTTGCTCAAATACAAAAGCACCGGAGGTCGTGAGCGTATTGAAAAGATGTCGGCTGAAGTTAAGGATTCGAATCCGTACAGTCGTCTGATGGCTCTTCAACGAATGGGAATCGTTCAAGACTACGAACGTATTCGTGACAAGAGTATAGCCGTGGTTGGAATCGGTGGTGTGGGCAGTGTTACGGCCGATATGTTGACTCGATGTGGTGTTGGGAAGCTGATCCTATTCGATTATGACAAAGTCGAATTGGCCAATATGAATCGATTGTTTTTTACACCGGATCAAGCTGGTTTGTCAAAGGTCGATGCTGCTGCACGTACGCTACAGTTCATCAATCCCGACGTTAAAATAATCACGAATAACTACAACATTACCACTGTTGATTCGTTTGACCACTTCTTGAATGCAATTCAAACGGGCGGCCTAGACGATAAAAGTCCAGTGAATTTGGTGCTGAGCTGTGTGGATAATTTCGAAGCGAGAATGGCCATCAACACGGCATGTAATGAACTCAACATCAACTGGTTCGAATCAGGTGTATCGGTATGTTCATTTGATGTATTGTTGTTTTCGTGATACATATATTGATCGCTGTCGTTTCGTTTTTCTAATGAACATGCCATTTTTTTCCTAGGAAAATGCTGTCTCTGGACACATTCAACTGCTGAAACCGGGTGAAACGGCCTGTTTTGCATGCGCTCCACCATTGGTTGTCGCCGATAATATTGACGAGAAAACGCTGAAACGTGAGGGTGTATGTGCGGCCAGTTTGCCAACAACCATGGGAATCGTTGCTGGAATGCTCGTTCAGAACACGCTGAAGTACCTATTGAATTTTGGAGAAGTGTCAGATTATCTAGGCTACAATGCAATGGTATGGATATTCGTGTTACATTTACAGCTATAGCTATACTGACTGATCATGAATGCACGTCACATTTCAGATTGACTTTTTCCCGAAGATGGTTTTGAAACCGAACACACAGTGTAGCGATCGGTATTGTCAAGAGCGACAGAAGGAATTCGATGCACGTCCAAAAGTTGAAGCAGTTATTAACACGAAGACCGACGATGCCGTTGTGCACAGTGACAATTTTTACGGAATCGAATTAGTATCAGAAGACGAAGGAGCCGCTTCAAGCGGCAACTCGGCATCACTCAATGTGGGCACTGGTTTGAAATTAGCGTATGACGCACCAGATACAACAACTGAAAACCTAGCTGCAGATACGACAAGCACCGCCGACGATGGTGCTAGCTTAGAAGAGCTTATGGCCCAAATGAAATCGATTTAAACTTTTTTTTACATTGAATTTTTCATAATTATATACAAAGATATTTTCTAACTCTAAGCAAAATCTTCGGAATTCCAACTAAATAAAGTGCATTTCAAATAAACACCTCGCCGAGAATAAATGTCAATTTTTTCCGGCAACTGCAACAACTTCATGCCAATCAAACTAAACTGAAATGCTGTGACTTCTATTGCTGCTGCTGCTGCTTCTTATTTTTACATTTCTCACTTCACGTGACACTTCTTTATTTACAGAACGTCACACACACAAAAACATTCGATATTTTCCAATTTTTCCCATTCAATTGTCAAATAATGGCCGAACAGAGTGATAAAAGCCAAGAAATAAGTGAAGAACAACAACTGAACGAACAATTGGAAAACATTTGTTTAGAGTATCAATTGTTGGTGAATAAAAGCCAAGAAATGGCACCAAAGGGAACACAATCAAAAAAATCCGATCCAAATACAGAAAATCAAATTGATGATGACGATTTAGAAGGTGAGTGGGTGATTTTCAGTTTCCATTTAATTTTTCATTTTGGGTGCTTTTGTTCATTTTCATTGTAATTTTTCCAACGAGTTTTTTTCATTTCACAGAAATCGCAAATGTTGCGGACAATTTGGATTCACTTGAGTCAGCATTGGATGTGATTGAAGAACGTGCGGACCGTATTCGTGAGCAATTGCTGGAATTGTTGACCTCGAACCGAGAAATACGGCAATCGATCCAGGAAGAGAATGAAAAATTGCGAGAATGTCAGTCCAAAGACAATTCGAATGCGGAAACTTCGTCAGAACCAGAAGATCAACCACCCACAAATGAACATCAGGAATAAATATTAAAAAAAGAAATTGCGTCGAAAGAAATCAATTTTTGACATTTATATCGACACTTATGCATTATACCAGTATAAATTGGATACACAAAGTAAATGATTGCTGTTTAGTTTAATATTGTAAAAAGTTATGTGAAATAAATGAGTTTCAATAAGTTATATCTGTTGTTGTTGTGGTTTAATGCGTCGAAAAATAGCAACGAATTTATCGCCCTTGTTCCGTGTCACTTTTATGCCTTCCTCACTAGTTTCATACAATTTTTCCACGACTGGATCCGATTCCTGTGGAAAGAACATTAAGCATTAGTAACAAAGCGCAAAAATGAACGCAATTCAACATTTCTTACCAATTCTTCGCCAGCAATTCGTTTAAAGAGAGAATGTTTCTCGAGATGAGAAACCATCCATTCATGTAGGTCTTTGACATCAGTTATTGTGTAAAGAATGCCCTGGAAAATCAAAATGAATTAGTTTTGATTCTATTGGACTTGCTCCAACTTCGATACGTTGACGATACGCATGAATGATGAATGTAAATATGGTATGCCAACATAAACTTACCCCTTCGCGTAAACAATATGCGTATTCTGTGAGCAATGCCGTGTTGATGATACGCCACTTGTGTTTTGCCCGCTTAAAATGTGGATCCGGGTAAAGGAAGCACATTTTTGTTAGTTGACCTTTCTTGAAGAAGTTTGGCAAATATTTCATCGCATTCGTACGGAGGCAAGCAATATTTTGATATTGGCCCGGATGTAATTTCCGTAACGCATCAATACGATCCATCACATAGTCTGATACTTTGACACGAATCTCGAAACCAATGGAATATTTTTCAGGAAACAGTTCACCCAATGTAACCAAAAATCCACCATAACCGCAACCAATATCGGCGAATTCAACTTGATTATCCCCAATATTTGGGTACAATTTCGTCCAATCGTAATCATCAGGATGAGCTGGACTGCAATGAGCATATTGATGTAATCATAATCAAAATTTTAAAAAATGCTGCTTTAATTGAATTATTGTATGCTTTCAAATCAAAACTCACTAGTCCATCGTATGATCGGCAATTGGATTCGAATGTGCACGTTGGCGATAGAATCGTTTTTGCGGTAATTTGCATGCTACCGACTCATTTGGTGCTCCCACTTCGGCCATGATAAATGTGTTTGTTTGCAAGCACAACTTCCAAATCGGTTGAGTCCCCAAAAATTGTGTTGCTCTGGAATGGAACACTTTGTAACCTCATAAACTGAAATATCCTCACACGTTTCATTCGACGGTTGTCAAACGAAATGTTTGACACCTC